TTTTTTTTTTTTTAATTAAACCTTAACGTTAATGAGAGTCGATTGTCGGTGATTATAACTGATTGACATTATTTTTCAATCAATGATTATCACATTTGACGAACATAATTGATCTCAAATTTGTAAAACATTTATACATAGAAATTTTCAGACAAATAATTTTTATTTTATTAAAATATTCTTAAACCAAATTTCATAATTTTATTTCAACACAATATTGTTAGTTTATTCTGCTGAAGCAAGATTTGAAGGGTGAAAACAGTGACTCATAATATTTCTCGAGATTCTGTTTTCTATCTAGTAGCAAGTAAACACGAACAATAAAGTCATACGTATAATCGAATTTAATCTAAACTATCGAAATAAAATTCTTTGAACAATAAATTTTATTTAATTTATAATTATTAATTAATTTGCATAATAACAAATTAACTCAATCACAAAAGAAATACAATTTTACTCAAAATTACACATTTAAACTGCAAGTATCAAAATTCATATAAAACAACATGAAACAACTCTCAAAAGAACTTTTATTTATTTTTGGCAATGCCCCACGTTGGGCGCCATTTGTGAAGTAAGAAATAAATGATCGGTAATCCTCAAATTTACTTCTCGCGATTCCTATGCCAAATTAGGAATAAATGCGTTCACCTTCGGTACCTCGATCGAGAATATAATCGGTATCTAATTTTTTTAAATAAATAATAATAAAAGAAAACTCTACAGCAAACTTTACCAAATGTTGGGCGCCAGACTCACCGATGAGTCAACGTCAGCAAAACCAACAATATTAAAATCGTACATAACTCAAAAGCTTCAAAAGAAATTTATCAAAAAAAAATTAGATAATAATGTTTAACATCTCGATCTCAATAAACCGGTACCCAAATTATTATTATTATTACTAGCTCGCGGTTGTTAATTAAAACAAGGGGAAGTGGGTCTGTGTTGAGAGCTTTTCATGAGGTACAAAAGAAATAATTCATGATTCCAATAATGCAATTTAACAACTTTATATTATCAATGGCGTCTCTCAGTGTAGTTGTAAATTTTACAAAAAAAAAATGTGAATATTTAATTATCGACAGAATTTAATAATTTTTGTTTAACAATTTTACCTCAATAATTATTTTTACTCACTAATTTTCTCTCGATATCGCGATACAAGAAAATTGAAAAGTCTAGCTTATCTTAACGATAACTCGAAAATAACGTGACCTCTAAGAATATTTCGCGACATAACGTTATATTATGAAATACGAATTTAACAAATTATACAAAATCAAAAAAAAATCTTGCTCAAGCATGATTAATAATAAAAAAAAATTATGATTATAATCATAAGGAAATCATCTTTGTCGAAGTGTCGCATAAACGATATTAAAATAATTCTAATTTTTAAATAACTTGAGAAAAATAACGCGAAATTCGATAATAACGACCATTCGACAATATATAGAATCCATATTCCAATTTCAATAATTTTACTTTATATTCGAGTTATAATATAATGAATAAGTGGAATATGCATTCTAAAAAAAAAATTAATTATAGATAGAGAACTACATGTCGACTTACAGAAAAGCTACAAATAAATCCAAATATTTGATTTCCTCGTCTCAGGTTCCTCTATTTTTTTTTCGCTACGGTATCGGCAGATCTCTCGGCTTGGCTCTATATCTCGACGTGACAATCGTGTAGACGGTATTCTTCGACGATACAAAATTTGGAACCAGTCTCTATCGCTATCGCCAAGCTAATGTGCCTCGTGTTCGAGAGTGCCGGCGGCGTCGGGCCTTTTCTAACCTAATCTGATAATCCGGCGCGCGAACACTCATTCTTCTTCTACGCAACGGCGCGAAACACATTCAAATTCAAAATTAAACGAAATATTAAATCATACCTTCACAGCTGATATTTTACAATAATATTTCTTGTATGATTACGAGTTATAGATCACTATTTTAATAGTGTAAAATACGTAAACAATTAATGCTATAATAAAAATAACAATAATAATTAATAATCAATATCGCATGAAATCGATTCTATATCGCAATAGTAGTCTAAATTTTTACTAAATATTAAAAATGAATCAATCGAACCAAAAAAAAAATATAATAAAGAAAATACTAAAAGAGTTCAAATATTTAAATAACTCAAATAATTTTAATTAACGCTAATAAATTCCGAATAACGTATTAGAATTCAACTCTAATCTGTTAAAAAAAAATTAAGAAAGAAATAGTTATCATAAATATCGCTAAAATGATAAAGAAGAATATAAGAAATAAAATAAACAAAATTTAATTAATTACTACAATACGCAATATCTTCTTGTGTATCCTTGGAGTATTCTTGGTGCATTCTTGGTGCAATCGTTATTGAAATCGCCCTCGCTATGGTATCGTACATCTGTTTTCGTCTGTAAGTAGATTATTAATCTTGGAAAATGTTAAGAAAAATTTATACCTTTTTACCGCTAATGATTCCATAATATTTTCGATGATCGTTACGTCAGTTTTCACGATTTCTCGTACATATCCTGACCAAAATCACGCAGATCCAAATGGTGATAGTCATTGCCTTAATACAAAGTCTGGATCTCAATTAGACTATCATCGGTGAAATGGAAAGAAATTCTCATATAATGCCAATTCGGACGGTACTTCTCGTCATCCAGCATCCGTCCTCGAAATTAGTAGTGTCGCTCCTCATTGACGACAATAATTCAAAATCGACCAATTTCGGTGGATTTCATCGCTCCTCATCGTCGATAGATCCAAAACGAAAATTGGATAAATGAAACAGCCGCACCTCATCGTCGACTGATCAAAGGTTAAAACAAAAACAAAGCAAAAGAAAAACAAAATTGAACTGGTCGCTCCTCATTGTCGGCCAAGTTCCGATATATGGTCCAATAGCGTATGTTGTGGTTAACTTCTCAATTCCAGATGGTTCTAAGACGATAAAAGATTTTTCTACAACAGTATTTCGGTAACCATTCCTAGCGAAGTTATTTCCAATGAAACTGCACCAGAATGATGAAGTCGGATTAGTTCTCATCTATATGGGTTTGAGAACATCTCCTTGTCCGTGGATCCATCAGTAGTCTCGTAGTCCATTGCAGATCATCGTTATCGCACGCAATGAATACATAAAAAAAAAATAAAAATAAAACGGCAGTATACAAAATTATTTTTCTATCCCTAAAGTTAATGCGGTCGAGATCGAGTTATGGAGTAGAGGAACGTGAATACGTGTTCTCCCAGTTAGACAATTTAATTAATTTTTACTTTTACTTTAAAATTTAATAATTTTAGTGACGGGTAAAAAATGTCACGTCACAATACATTACTAAAATTCGAAGACCTTGATGCTACATGGGTCAAACCATTATATTTCAACTAAAGTGGTCGCTGACTAATTTTTAAAAATTATAATACTTTGTAGGAATGATTTTGAAGTTATCAAGATCACGAAATGAAAAGAATTTTATTAAAAATTTAAATATTTATTGTAAAATATGAATTTAAAGTATATGAGGTGCTAAAAACTGTCAATTTTTTAGCCATTAGAAAATATGCAAAAAAACATAGAATTTACCATAAAAATAAAAAAAAATTATTGGAATTTACTAAGAATGAATAAATTTATCATTATCAATTGATATATTTATTTAAAGATGTGAAGTAATATATAAAATATGATTTCCAAGTGCACCTGTCAAATAACCTAATTTTGCGATTTTTATTCATTAATTATAAAAAATACAAAACATTAAATTAAATAAAAACTTACCAAATATGAAGTTCTTGCCATAAACTTTTAGAATTTCTTTGCACTTTTCTTCTTTTCTATTCATAAGTATGAAAAATTTAAAAAATAAAATAGCTACTTTGTCTATTTTCACTATTTTTGAAAGTCAATAACTTTCTTGGAGAAAAATGAAAAAATATGGGGTTTCGAAAATTATTTAAATACACACTACATATACATTCACTGAAAATTTCGCATTGGTCCCGAAGCTATTTTTGAAGATAAAGTAGATTAAAAATTTCGTATTTTTTAGGCTATATGGACATGGATTTTAAATCAATGTGAAGGTGGTTCACTGGTGACGACAAACTTCACATTGATTTAATACCTTTAAAACCCATGTCAATATAGCCTAAAAAATACGAAATTTTTAATCTACTTTATCTTCAAAAATAGCTTCGGGACCAATGCGAAATTTTCAGTGAATGTATATGTAGTGTGTATTTAAATAATTTTCGAAACCCCATATTTTTTCATTTTTCTCCAAGAAAGTTATTGACTTTCAAAAATAGTGAAAATAGACAAAGTAGCTATTTTATTTTTTAAATTTTTCATACTTATGAATAGAAAAGAAGAAAAGTGCAAAGAAATTCTAAAAGTTTATGGCAAGAACTTCATATTTGGTAAGTTTTTATTTAATTTAATGTTTTCTATTTTTTATAATTAATGAATAAAAATCGCAAATTTAGGTTATTTGACAGGCGAACTTGGAAATCATATTTTATATATTACTTCACATCTTTAAATAATTATATCAATTGATAATGATAAATTTATTCATTCTTAGTAAATTCCAATAATTTTTTTTTATTTTTATGGTAAATTCTATGTTTTTTTGCATATTTTCTAATGGCTAAAAAATTGACAGTTTTTAGCACCTCATATACTTTAAATTCATATTTTACAATAAATATTTAAATTTTTAATAAAATTCTTTTCATTTCGTGATCTTGATAACTTCAAAATCATTCCTGCAAAGTATTATAATTTTTAAAAATTAGTCAGCGACCACTTTAGTTGAAATATAATGGTTTGACCCACATATAATTAGTAAACTGTATAAATTCAAAAATTTTACCATCCCTGTATATTAAAATTAAACATTTTTAAAAATTATAAATTAATTTTCTCAACTAAATTTCAACTGCTACAGATATTAATTATTATTTGATTTTTAGCTTGCATCTCAATGGCAGCTTGGGGTGCATATCAATCATGGTCATCACCTGCTATACCTCATTTGACAAGTAAAAACTCCTCATTTCCGGTAACTGATGAACAAGCAGCTTGGATAGTCTCATTGTTTAATCTTGGTGATCTATTCGGTACCCTTATAAATCCTCTATTCATCGATCACATCGGACGAAAAAATACCTTACTACTATTTGCTCTACCAGGCCTAATTGGTTGGTCTCTCATTATTTTTGCACAAAATTACATTTATCTCTATGTAGCGAGATTTATTGCCGGAATTGGTCAGGGAAGTAATTTAAATTCATTGGTGATATATTTGACAGAAATTTCCGAAAAGAATATCAGAGGAATTCAAGTGAATACAATAAATATAGCATTATCCGTTGGTATTTTTATTTTTACAACTATTGCTGCCTTTACATCCTATGAATTTTTAAATATTTCCTCTGCCTCATTGTTGATTCTGTTTTTGTTGATATTTCCCTTTTTACCCGAAACACCTTATTACTATCTCTTACGCGAAAGGAATGACGATGCCATGAAGTGTTTAATGAAATTTCGAGGTATTACAGAATCATCAGAGAAATTAGATGCAGAAATGAGAGAAATGAAATTGACAGTCGATGAAAATAAAAGAAGCGCAAGCAATTTAGTAATTTGGGAATTGATCAGCAAAAGTTATAATCGAAAGGGAATGATTATTATGTTTCTAATGAAAATGACGCAATTATTATCGGGTATTGTGGCAATTTCGTCATATGCTCAGGAAATTTTTAGTTACAGTAGTCCATCTATTGATGGTGGAGTTCAAGTAATTATTCTCCAAGGAATTTCTTTGATTGCATCACTATTTACCAATGTTCTAATAGACAGATACAATAGAAGAATCATTTTTCTATTGACTGGCATTTTATCATCAATTTGTCTAGGAAGTGTTGGAATATTTTTCTTCATGAACGATTACATCAAGGCAGATGTTTCTTCTATTACATGGCTTCCACTTACGGCGTTGGTTTTATTTAATATTGTATATCTTTTTGGAATTGGTACCATTCCCTATATAGGACAAGGGGAACTTTTTCCAATGAATGTAAAAGGACCTGCTGTTGCCTTTGGTATGGCAATGGGTTCGATTTTTGCTTTTGGTACAGCAGTCGGATATAAAGCATTAAATCATGCTGCTGGTGTTTATACGACATTTTGGTTTTTTGCTGTTGCAACATTCATTGGATCAGTACTCACATTTTGGATTACACCGAACACAACTGGAATGACTTTAGAGGAAATTCAAGCTTTACAAAATCCGAAATTGAGAATAAAACTTGAATTACAACGTAAGGATGAGAATTCAAGAAGAGCATAAAAATGTTCACCGATAGACATTACTGGTCGTTTATGGCTAATTTAATCATTAAATTGTACAAATAAACTGAGAAACTTCATGTGTGTCAAATTAAAAAATCTAAACATAACAAACCACTAAATCACTTTTATCAGTGTGTATATATTTTTTACCATGACAAAATGAAATAGTATAATTTGGTTTCTTTTCATTAACTTGTCAAATTACGCCAGTAAGAATATTGAAGAAAAAATTAACATTCACAATAAGACAAAGAAGATATTTTATCAATCTTATTGAAAATGAAGTAAGCCAGTATAATCTCTTGAGGCTACTGGTTCACATTGACAGATTTTCCCACCACCTCTTAAAAAATGATATTGATAAGAATTCCAAATATTTATCAAAGTATGAACAAAGTGCATTTAACTTGTAGTAAGGAAAATTTGTAAGATAATAGGGTTTCAATTAAATCGAAGGATATATAAATGTAGTTCTTTTTTTTACAATAAAAGTATTTTAGTTATCAAAATAATAGTTTTATATTTAAATAAATGTCATGTTAGTTTTTACTTTAAAACCCCATAAAATTGAAGCAGGATTTTGCTATGATTGGAAAAAAAGAACGAGATATCCAAACTAATTTTCAAATGGATGTAAACAATTTTAAAACAGGCAGTCAGGTGATGCAATTCATTGCAGGAATCAGTGGTAATTATTAATTATATATATTAATTTGTTTACTTTCACGTTCCTAGCAGAGAATTATTAACCTATATCCATTATATTTATTACTTTGACTGAAAGGTCTTGCTGATAATAAATAATTTTCAATTGAAATAAAATTTTACAAGGCCTTTACGAATTTATTAACGTCTTTTTAAATTTATCAAAATGTAATTATAATTAATAATAATATAAGCCATCTATCTATCAGGGATTGATGTCTTATAAAATTCAAAAATCTGAAAGATTGTGCTAATTTATGCAAAAACTGGATTGTAAAATGGAAAATAGGAAAGTAATACAATAACAGCTGCAATATTATGCTCTCTGTATGGCTCTGCCATCTGACGGCGACTCACAGTGGGAAAAAAATGACCCTCTGTGGACAAAAATCTACCGACAACACAAATCTTAACCGATTTTAATATTTTTTTTTTTAAATACTCGGAGAGGTTTTTCCTGTAACGCACAACTGCGATAAATTTGATTTATTTCAAACTAACCTTAAAAATGATACCTATATATGAAATTACGTTATTAGGATGGTTTAAAAAATGAAAAAATGATTAATTTTGATATAGCAGAGAGTATTGTGAACCCTTTTTGATCACTGAATGCGAATTTGACACTAAAATTGCAAAATTTTAAAATTCAAAATGGCGGATGCAATATGGCAGGCAATGTTTTATAAAAGTCACTAAATTCACTCGAAAGTTGTTATTCAGGGGTTTTTAAGGTCGCTGATTACGAATCTGAAGTCTGATTTCAAAAATTCAAAATGGCGGATCCAATATGGCGGATGAGACAGTCAAAAACTAATTGGATTTGCTTGAAAGTTGTTACCCGGGGGTTTTTGGGGTCGCTGATTACGAATCTGAAGCCTAATTTGAAAAATTGAAAATAGTATTAGATTAGAGTATTATATTATTATTAGATTATTAGTATTAGATCTGCCATCTCAAATTTAAAAAATTCGACTACAGATTTGTAATTAGCAAACCCAAAAACCTCCAAGTAACAACTTTCAAGCAAATTCAATGAGTTTTTAATTTTTTAATCCGACATATTGGATCCGCCATTTTGAATTTTTGAAATCAGACTTCAGATTCGTAATCAGCGACCTTAAAAACCCCTGAATAACAACTTTCGAGTGAATTTAGTGACTTTTATAAAACATTGCCTGCCATATTGCATCCGCCATTTTGAATTTTAAAATTTTGCAATTTTAGTGTCAAATTCGCATTCAGTGATCAAAAAGGGTTCACAATACTCTCTGCTATATCAAAATTAATCATTTTTTCATTTTTTAAACCATCCTAATAACGTAATTTCATATATAGGTATCATTTTTAAGGTTAGTTTGAAATAAATCAAATTTATCGCAGTTGTGCGTTACAGGAAAAACCTCTCCGAGTATTTAAAAAAAAATATATTAAAATCGGTTAAGATTTGTGTTGTCGGTAGATTTTTGTCCACAGAGGGTCATTTTTTCCCACTGTGCGACTGTACGTAATGTACCTGTCATTACTTTCCTATTTCCAATTTTGTAATAGTGTTTTTGCATGAATTCGCACAATCTTTCGGATTTAGGAAATTTATAAGATAAGGATTCTTGGTATTTTTACCGATTTTGTAACAAGTGTCAAGTGTTTCGAGAAAAAAGTATTTCAAATCAATGTTTATCATTTTCACGTTCAGTGCCGTTTTTATAAGACGTTAATTAAAAGTCCTTCATTGCCAAAGAATTTCAAAGAATACTCTTAACTCTTGTAATTTTAGATTTGTTTTATTGAACTTAACTTAAATTTCTAACTAGTTTATTTGAATAAATTTTTATTTTTAGCCTCCCTTTCAATAGCAGCAGCGGGAGCAAATTCAGCCTGGACTTCACCAGCGCTTCCTTATTTAAAGAGTAATTATTCATCATTTCCCGTCAGTGATGAACAAGGAGCATGGATTATTTCAATCTATAATCTCAGTGATATAATTGGATCGTTACTAGTTATTTTTCTCATCGATAGAATTGGCAGAAAAATAAGTTTACTTTTCAGTGGCATACCATTATTTCTCTCTTGGCTATTTATTATCTATGCTAGCAATTATGTACATCTTTTGATTGCAAAATTTATTGCTGGATTTGGTCAAGGATGTGCCTATGCAACAATAGTGATCTACTTGTCGGAAATTGCTGAGAAAAATGTACGAGGTATAATAATTTCTGGTCATTAATTCATCATGCTTTTAGTTTAAGATGTTAGATTATTTTTTTAGATTTTTAAACCCTTTGCAGGTACTCTGATAAGTATTATGCGGATATCGACAGTAATAGCAATGTTTCTATTGACAGCAGTGGGATCTTTTTGTTCGTACGAAACATTGACTTTGTCGTGTGCATCGGTACCACTTATTTTTCTCATTACATTCATATTCATGCCAGAGAGTCCTTATTATTTTTTACTTAAAAACAGAGATCAGGATGCGCTAAAGTGTTTGATGAAATTAAGAAGTTTGACTGATCAACAATCATTGATTTCCATCATTAGAGAAATGAAATTAGACATTGAGAATGAGAAAATTTACAAGATTAATGCACTCGAAGAACTATTTTCGAAGAAATATAATCAGAAAGGTCTTTTGATAGTGGTTTGCATGAAAGTAACACAATTGATGACTGGACAATCTGCAATTATCAATTACACTGAGGAGATTTTTACAATTAGTGGATCATCATTTGAGCCAAAAATATCGGTTTTAATTCTTGCTGGTGTTCGTGTTATTGCTTCATTTATTGTTGGAGGAATGATGGAACGTGTGAGTAAAGGAATGAATTTCTTCATCTCTGGCATATTAGCTTCAATATTTTTAGCAGTAGTTGGTTTATTTTTTTTTCTAAAATTAGAAACAATTGTTGATCTAACCTCAATTGTTTGGTTACCACTTGTGGCTCTTATTCTTTTTGAATTAGTTTACTATATGGGAATGAATGTTGTACCATATGCAATACAGGGTGAAATTTTCCCAATTAATGTGAGAGGTATTGCTGTGTCTGGTGGTATGATGTTTGGATCAATTTGTTCATTTGTGACTACAATTGGATATTATGAAATCGCTAATGCTGCGGGCATTTATACGGCATTTTGGTTTTTTGCTTTTATTGCTTTTCTCGGATCAATTATTTCCTTTCTAATTATACCGGCAACAAATGGTAAAACTCTGGAGGAAATTCAAGCCATGAGGAATCCGACAATGAAAATCAAACTCGATTTACAAAGATGTAATATAAGATAAAATGTATGAGTCTGTCACAAAAAAAAAAAATTTAATTCCTCTAAATTTTTAGTATTGTTTAAAATTTCCCTTCTGTGGTTATTGAAAATAAAAATATTTCTGTCCAGTTAATAGAAACTCTATTTTTTTTTTTAACTGAACAATTAAAAGTGTTCGCAGAAAGTGATTAATAAACTTAGTTGATAATGTTGGTGCAATCGTGTAATTAGACTGATAAGAATATTACTGTTAAAATGACATCGGACAATTCTAGTGTATATTTGCTTTGTTCAAAAAGTTGTGTACAATTTTATATATAAGTGTAAGGAAATAAAGAATTGATTATTTTTAATTCTTTAATTTCAAATTCATTGAATTTTTCGAAAATAGTTCATTCCTAGAACAGTAAAGAAATGATAAAGATTTATAAATAACAATTCTGGATTAAAAAAAAATACAGAAGTTCAAGTTCAGAAAGCGATTCATTATCAGCAAGGTAACTTTAATTTTTATTTCAATTTTTATTATAAAAAAATTTGTAACTAACATTTTATCCCGTTTAAAACAATATCCAAAGAAATATTTCCTGAAATTTTTTGCATTAATTTTTTTTTGACACTATTGTCAAATAAAATTTGGATAAATTAAAATTTTAAATAAAATTTGGACAAATTAAATTCGGATTTGTAACTCAAATAAATTAATATTTGGACAATTCAAAGGTTTCTGAAATAGAAAATAAATATTTACACAATTAGATTATCATTTGGTATATAATGTCACGACAACGATTTCTGAAGAAACAATAAAAATTAATAATGAAATAAGTTCAAAATAAATTTAATCGAATTTTTTTGAAAAATGGTTCTATGATGGCGAACGCTCTTAAATTTCCTCTAACAAAAATGTTTTTTTCACTTTTCTGACTCGTGGCTACCCTGATTATATTATATAAATTAAAAAAAAAATTAATCAATTTCTATTTCTTATCTTTTTTTTCAGTAAAATGAAGAACAAACTTTTGACGAAAATTTTAGCAAGAAGAAGGTATCAAATGCAATATATTGCTTGCATTAGTGGTGAGCTTTTTTTTTGGTAAAAGTTAATAATTTAATTTTTCTACACTTATAATAATAATGCTAATAATTTTTATATAAATCCACTTTTTAAACATTTCTGAGTTTCCTTTCATCTCCAATAGTTTTTTTAAAGAAATTTTAAATTAACTATATATCTATTAAACCGTGTCAATATTGAAATAATTCTTCTTAGACTTAAGGGGAGAAACCGGTGAAATTTCAACTTATCAAAATCAATGTTGTTTAGGAGTATCAATTTTTTTTCTACCATTATTTAAGATATAAAATTATTACATATTGTTAAAATTAAAAAAAAAATATTTTTGACCATTTTAGAAATTTTATTTTTTTAAATATTAAAATATTTCAAAATCCATATACTATTGATTATTCAGAATCACGAAAGAAGCTTAAAAAAATCAACAATGAAAAATAATAAAATTTATGAGAGAAGATGAAATTATAATTTTTCCAGAATTTCGAATTTTATTTTACAAATTAGTAAATTTAAAAAAATTTCATAAATTACAATTTTAAATACTAAATATTGTCAATAAGAATGAGCAAAAAGCTGTGAACGTTCAAATGAACAAAATTTTTTTTGTAACTTCTTTAAATACGAATTTTATTACAAAATATTGTTTTAAATATCTAAAAAGAATTTATTAAATTAATATTAGTTTAATTTACTGTTTTATTTTACATTGACATTATAATTTTTAATAATTTATAGATTGAAAAAAATATTTTGTTCATTTGAACGTTCAAAACTTTTGGTTCATCAATAAGAAAATTAATACCTCTAAAACAACATTATTTTGGATAAGTTAAAATTTTAAGGTCGGTGATGTTCACATCGATTACGATCATCGAAGTTTTAAAAACCAAGATACTGCATAAAGACAACAAAAAATTACAAAAAACTTCAAAAAAACATTATACTTAAAAAAAAATTAAGTTCAACCCCAACGTCAATAGAAAAACACCCCTAGTATAAATTCCTACATAGACATTTTTCAAAAAAAAAATTGAAATTTCATTACACACACAATTTTATTCAAAATTCTCGCCCAAAATACAACTAAAAGTTTAGAAAAAAATTGACACCCCGATACAAGTAGGGGAAGACCCCTATTACCACCCTTAAGCCAACTCCTAAATTCCCAAAAAATTCAATTTTTCTTATACAGACCATTTTATTCGCAAATTCTTGTACAAAATCCAAAAAAAAGTGTAAAAAAAATTTACACTCCTATAGAAGTATTGGAAAAAGAGTAAAATCTAAGAAAAATGGACTTTTTTGGGAATTTAGGGGTTGCCTTAAGGGTGGCAATAGGGATAATAGTATGGAAAGACCCTTCCCATACTTGTATCGGGCTGTCAATTTTTTTCTACACTTTTAGGTGTATTTTACGCAAGAAATTGCAATAAAATAGTCTGCCTAAGAAAAATTGAATTTTTTAGAAATTTAGGGGATTCTTAAGGGTGGTAATAGGGTGTCAATTTTTGTCTTAACTGTTAGTTGTATTTTATGCGAGAATTTGCAATAAAATTGTGTGTGTAATGAAATTTCAATTTTTTTTTGAAAAATGTCAATATTGGGATTTAAACTAGGGGTGTTTTTCTAATGAATTTGGGGTTGAATTTAATTTTTTTTTGTATAATGTTTTTTTGAAGGATTTTGTAATTTTTTGTTGTGTTTATGCAGTATCTTGGTTTTTAAAATTTCGATGATCGTAACCGATGTAATCTTTACCGACCTTAAAATTTTGCCTCTTAATGAATAAATTCTGGGACGCCTGAATATTTTCTTCATTAGACTTGCCGGAATATTTATGGTGTCGAATTAAAAATTATCGAATTTACATCACTGCAAAAACTAGCCGTCTTAAAAGTGCAAAAAACGTCTTGTTTTAAGACACATTTGGTGTCTTAGACGCGAAAAACGTCTTAAAACAAGACGTTTTTTCCACTTTTAAGACGGACAGTTTTTACAGTGATTTAGTAGCATTTTTAAAAAAGTAGATTTTATAATGAACCCAATTTAAATATCGAAAAATTTATATTTAACAAATTACTGAATTTTTAGAATTTTTATTCAACTAAACTTTGATAAAGCAGATTTTCTAATATATCGAATTTTCAAATAATGCAATTTTCATTTAACTAAATTTATACCTAGAAAAATTTTCATAAAAAAAAGTTTTTATTTATTGGAAAATTTGTTGTAAAAATTAAAAAATGTTCATAAATTACAAAATGGCGGCAATTTTCATAAAAAAAAAACGAAATTGAAATTACTCAAAAATCCCCACTGAATTCAAAGTTCAGTTAAATAGAAATTCAACAAAATCAGAATTTTATCAAATAGAAATTTTTCGATATTAAAATTGGGCTCATTATAAAATCTACTTTTTTAAAAATTCTACTAAATGTAAATTCGATAATTTTTAATTCGCCACCACAAAAATTCCGTCAAATCTATAATGAAGGGAATATTCATGCGTCCCTAAATTCTAATTAAATTCAACAGGTTCTTTGGCAACCGCCGCATGTTTAGTGAACACTTCTTGGACTTCAACGGCAGTACCATATTTAAAAAGCAATGAATCAAAAATTCCCCTGACAAATACACAAGGAGCATGGATAGTATCAATTTATAATATTGGCGATATAATTGGAACGCCATTGACAATTTTATTTGTCGATCGAATTGGAAGAAAGTACACATTACTTCTATATGGCATACCAGCAATTATATCATGGCTAATAATAATTTTTGCAAATACTTATATTCATCTCTATATTGCACGATTAATTGCTGGTATTGGTCATGGATTTGTTTTCAGTACAACGGTAATTTATCTTGCTGAAATTTCGGAAAAAAATTCGAGAATAACACTTTTTACAATAATGCGCGTTACAGCGAGTACTGTTGGATTAATAGCAACAACAGTTGGAGCATTTTTGTCCTATGAAATTTTGAATATTACTTGTTTAGTAATACCAATTTGTTTCCTCATTTTTTTCTCTTTTATGCCCGAAAGTCCCTATTATCTTTTACTAAAGGGTTATGAAGAGGAGGCAATAAAATGTTTAATAAAATTACGAGGTAAAATGGAACAAACTTTGACGCATGAAATTTTAGAACACGACATTGCTGAAATGAAATTGAATATTGATGAGAGTGTTAAGATAAATGCATTTTGGGAATTATTGTCTGATAGGAATAATCGTAAAGCAATGTTAGTAGTTTTGTTTATGAAAATTACACAATTTATGTCGGGAAATTTAGTTATTCTTGGATATACTGTGGAAATATTTCAATACAGCGGTGCAACTGTAAAACCAAATATAGCAGCTCTTATATTAGCTGGTATTCGATTAATTTCATCCATGACTGCTGGAGTAGTGTTAAATTTTATAGATATAAAAATTAATTTTCTTTTCTCTGGATTATTTGGCGCATTTTGTTTATTTATATTGGGTATGTATTTTTATTTGAAAGATTTGGGTGAAGATGTTTCTCCAATATCGTGGCTACCATTGACGGCGCTTATTATTTTTGAAATAATCACAAATTTGGGCATTACCATTATACCATTTATTATTCAAGGAGAATTGTTTCCTATGAAAGTTAAAGGTATTGCTGGTGTTTATGGCACAATTCTTGGTTCAATATGCACATTTGCAAGTACAACGGGATATAGTGCATTGAATGATGCTGTTGGTTTTCATGCATCTTTTTGGTTATTTGGATTTGCCAGTTTATTTGGATCTGTTATTACATATTTTATTACGCCTGAAACAACAAGAAAAACTTTGGAGGAGATTCAAGCAATGCATAATCCTGAGATAAAGAAGAAATTGGAATTGGTGCGTTTAAGAAGATTAGATTCCAACATCAGTTCAATACAGAATTGAAAAAGAAATTTAATTTTTGATTGTAGAAACCAAAGATTTATATTATAGAATTTATAGTTTGAAGAGGTACTTTAGAATAGTAATACTTGTACAAAGTTTATTTAAGTTATGATTATATAACAACCTTTCATTCAAGTCGAATTACTGACATGAAGACTGAATTAGTCAATGATAGTTACTGCAAAAGATAAGATCGAGCCGATCTCATAATTGTATTTAAATTTTTCAATAAAAGGTTTATTTTTATCTAAGGTGATAGTGTGGCCCTACTATGTAAATTAGTCATATTTATTATCGATCAGATGTTAATCAGTTTTTATAAATTTCGGAAAATTTATATACACTTTTATAAAATTTATAAAAATATTATAAGATCAAGTAGAAATTTTCAATTCATTATTTAAAAAACGCGTAAAGGACATAAAATTGTAGAATAATACCACACGTATAATTTGTTAATACAAAAAAAAATCAATGAAGAATTATTTCATTTTTAACTTTAAGATATGGTGCTTAAGATTGAAGAAATATTTCGAATTTAATCGAATATAATCACGTGTATATTTATCAATATTTATCTATGTATATAAAAAATACTCTGGTAATTTTAGACACAAAACACTATCTTATGTTCGATAATCGCAATATATGCAGTTATTTAAAAAATTTCCGTATTTGATTATTGATATCATCAATAAACATTGCAGATGAGTTAATATTTCATCTACAATTCTCTTAATAGATTCATTACACTAACGAGAATAGTATTCACTTCAAAAGTTAAATTGTATTTTTAAAAATAAGTTTCTGAAATAAGTGATATTTTTTCTGAATTTCTATAAAAATCTTTAACTAAATTGTATGCATTTTTGTATAATTAAACTCGAAAATTATATTTTAATCATATAAATTTCTAAAAAAAAAATGAAATTTAATTATTTTATAAGACAATCTACTTCATTGCTTTCAATTTGCAAATAAATGAAAGTATATAAGGGAAACTTTTAAAAAAAGTGATCAAATAATTTTAAAATGGAGGAAGATCATTTTTTGCTCAAACCACAGGTATGTTTGACAAAAAGTTCTATAATATTTACAATAATTTGATTCATATATATATATAAAAAATAAATTTTATTAATTAAAGTGAATAAATATTATTTTTAAAATTAAATGAAACTAATTTTTCTTAAGGTGTTATATACCTTTATGCAAGTCAAAAAAGAGGAATTTTCGAAAAATTTGTTAGCCGTTGTTTAAAATTTTTTTTAAGGGGACTTTCTGGTTTAGAATTTCAAAAAAATCGATTTTTTTTTTTTTGCTTAAAAATGTTCCATAGTATCATAGAATTACTGTCCCAAAACGTTTTTTAAAAAATATGTACAAAAACAAAAGTTATAACAATATTTATGACGGTATGTATTTCAACAACAATCTACAGTTATCTTATTTACATATTTGGTGTTCCTCTTTTATTGATATTAGCTTGAAACTTGTTACTCGGGGGTTTTTGGGGTAGCTGATTACGAATTTGATGTCAGTTTTTGAAAATACAAAATGGCGGATCCAATATGGCGGACGAAAAAATAAAAATTCAACCGGATTTGCTTAAAACTTGTTACTCGGGGGTTTTTGGGGTCGCTGATTACGAATTTGATGTCAGTTTTTGAAAATACAAAATGGCGGATCCAATGTGGCGGACGAAAAAATAAAAATTCAAGCGGATTTGCTTAAAACTTGTTACTCGGGGGTTTTTGGGGTCGCTGATTACGAATTTGATGTCAGTTTTTGAAAATACAAAATGGCGGATCCAATGTGGCGGACGAAAAAATAAAAATTCAAGCGGATTTGCTTAAAACTTGTTACTCAGGGGTTTTTGGGGTCGCTGATTACGAATTTGATGTCAGTTTTTGAAAATACAAAATGGCGGATCCAATGTGGCGGACGAAAAAATAAAAATTCAAGCGGATTTGCTTAAAACTTGTTACTCGGGGGTTTTTAGGATAGCTGATTACGAAGTTGATGTCAGTTTTTGAAAATACAAAATAGCGGATCTAATATGGCGGACAAAGATTAAGAAATTAATTAAATTTAGTTGAAAATGGTTACTTGTGGCCTTTTGAGATTGCTAGTTATGAATATAGGCACAAAACATTAACGTTCTAGGAACGTTTTAATTAATTAAAAAAGTTAATTTTTTATTTTGTAGTCCGCCATATTGGATCCGCCATTTTGAATTTTCAAAAACTGACATCAAATTCATAATCAGCGACCCCAAAAACCCCCGAGTAACAAGTTTTAAGCAAATTTGGTTCAATTTTTATTTTTTTGTCCGCCATATTAGATCCGCCATTTTGTATTTTCAAAAACTGACATCAAATTCGTAATCAGCGACCCCAAAAACCCCCGAGTAACAAGTTTTAATCAAATTCGGTTGATTTTTTATTTTTTCGTCCGCCATTTTGAATTTTCAAAAACGGACATCAAATTCGTAATCAGCGACCCCAAAAACCCCCGAGTAGCAAGTTTTAAGCAAATCCGGTTGAATTTTTATTTTTTTTTGTCCGCCATATTGGATCCGCCATTTTGAATTTTCCAAAACGGACATCAAATTCGTAATCAGCGACCCTAAAAACAGCTGGATACGAAGTTCTGTTGTAATAAAAAGTTGTTTGATATTCATGACTCAATGAACTATGTTATGAAAACTTTGAACGCGTTTTTCTCGAAAACTCATTTTTCAAACTGGTACAGAGCTTTTCTCGAAATCTACCGAACCGATTTTGAAATCCCAAAAATTTTTCGATTCTTTATTTAAAAAACTGGGGCCTAAACCTCTAAAAACTCATATTTCTACCCCCTGTGTTTTTATATGGAGGTAAATTGATCCAAAAACACGGAGTTTTTGCGAGTTTTTGAGAAAAATGTACATAAAAAATAAAAAAACCTTTAAAAAAAATCGTTTTTGAGGTTTAGGCCCCAGAATAAATCCTTATGAAGAGATTCCCGTTTGGAACTTGAATTTATGTATTACAGGTTGCCCGGAAACTAACGTACCAAAAAAAAGGTATCTTTTGGAAGACGCCACCTACAGCTATGAAAATGAACTAAATACACTCAAACATATTTTTTAAATTTTCTCTACGCAATGTGCTACAATGTCCAAAAATAGTTTTTACAATTTCTTTAATACTGTTCTTACAATAAAAGTTTTAAAACCTTCCTTTTTTGTCAATTCTAAACCAGAAAGTCCCCTTAAACGAAGTTTATTTTATCGAATAGTACATATTTCGATGTACTTGTAAATAAATTTTTATTAAAAAATATTAATAATTGTGGAAACTGTGGACCTTGCACTAAAACACCTTTTTTTTATAGCTGTTTGTAGTGACTGCGATAAGTCAGAAAGAGTTTAACTAAAATTAAAAAATAATGGAAATTTTGTTAGTATATTATATTACCTCCTGCGTAAACAAAGAATTTTGAAAAAACAAAATTTTTCTAGAAATGGCGATGATTTTTCCTCAAAAATCGTGATTTTAGGACTTTAAAATTTGGTTTTTTGACCAAAAAAAATATTAATTTTGGTTCAAATTTAAATTTCTTCGTTCATGCACTAGCTATTGTATCTATAAAGAACCCCTGAAAATTTCAGCTCGATCGGTTTAGCGGTTTTAAAAAAATCACAGTAACCGTTATTTTGAGAAAACATTGTCGAGAGTATGTACTTTTGATATATGCAATGAAAAAAAAATCGATTTTTTTTTGACCTATGAAAAGGTATATAACCCCTTAATTTTCCAATTTTTTGACACGATTCTAAAATTTTTGAATTTAACACTTTAAGTTTGCAATTCGTAATTTTACTATTTTTATAAATGAAATATTATGCATAAATTTTTAAATTCTAACCAATATACAGTCAAAAATCTAACTTTATTTTTATAGATAAATTTTATAAAAATAATTTTCTTCTAAATCTATTTTCTTTAGGGTTTCACTGTTGAAACAAAAAGAGTTAACGATATTAATTCAGATTCAACGCATAAATCTGAACTTGAAATACAAAATGTAGCAAATAATGATGAATTTTCAAAAGAAGGAAATTATTCAATGCAATTTATCGCCGGCATTACAGGTATGTTTGTTTTTCTTTAAATTTTGTGAAAAATAATTTAAGGTCATTTTTGAAGGAGACAACAAAAATATATTGGTATTCTATAATAATTACATTATTGTGTTACTTTTTGAGAGATTATAAAAGGAAATTTATTGTCATTCTCTTAACATTATACAGACATCATTAAAAATATAAAAAGATTTCAGAAATTATCTATTTGAATATCTGGAAAAATTAGAATAAATTATGTTGTAATGAAATTGTATTATATTGATATTTTTAAGATTATAATTAAAATTTGAATATATTTAAATAAAAAGTTTTTTATCTTACTGTTTCGGCCATGACATTTTTTTTATAAAAATGTAAAATGTAATAGCCAATAAAAGATAAAAAAATCTTTATTTTTTTTTATATTTTATAATTTCCGAAATCTTTTTATAATTTCACTGTTGTCCTGTGGTAAGAGATCTGATTATTTCCGTTAGGAGTCAGCATGGTTGGGCCACCCCTGTGTTTATGGCTCTAGCACACTGGCGCCCTCTATTTTATTATGCAAATAATTGCTAGTGATAGCAACTAACTTTTCACGTCAGTTACAGTAAAATGCAATTGCAATAAACATTTAATTTTTCAAGAAAACTAAAATAAGTGCTAAAATTACAACTCAAAACATTTTTCACAGTGAAAGAAAAGTCGATTAAATAACAGAAGGAATTAGCACACTGAGAAAAAATATTTAGTGTTTGCAACAAAATTTTTTGGTTAGGCAATTTTGGTTCTTTTGTACCCAAATTTTGGTTGACTGAAACAAAGTCGTAGAGTTATCTCAACCAAACATTTGGTTAGGCCAACAAAATTACACTAGAGTCTCCGAAGAGAGGACAGGAAGAGTCTTGGACCTCTCTACGGAATTCGTCCTTGACGCCGAAAATTGTAAACACTCCAGGGCCGTATATCGTATCACAGAGATGTGTTTTTTTAACAGAATACATTCTATTACATACATAAAACACTGCGCGAGAAAGGTACACTAAAAACAAACGCTCCTGAGTTCACGTTCCTCTTTCTGATCCCGCCCATCTCTTCCCCCCTCACTCCTTACCGCGCCGCGTCCCTACTTAGTCCTCTCTTCAGAAGTCCTCTCTTGGGAGACTCCAGTGTATTTGGTTGAACATTTTTAAATTCCAACCAAAATTCGGTTATGGCAACAAAATAATTTGGTTAACACAACAAAATGGTTTGGTCTAAAAAACCAAATGATCGTTTGTTGTCCTAACCAAAATTTGGTTGCGACAACCAAAAAATTTTATTCGTTCTCAGCTCATAGCTTAAAAGAACAGTTAGTTTAAATTTTTCACAAGGATGAGTAGTCCAGTGGCCAGAGTTCCCGACCTTCAGTTTTAAAACAGAGATTCGATCCCAGGTGGAGATGAGATTTTTCAAAGTCCACAAATATTTCAAATAAAATAAAATTTTTAATTTTACAAAAAAAAATTGTTTGTTTGATCGACCAAACATTTTTGTTGACCTAACAAAAAAAATTTGGTTGAGCTAACCAAACATTTTTGTTATGCCAACAAAAAACACTCAACCATATTTTTTGGTTGCCTCAATCAAATAGTTTGGTTGCTTAAATACCAACAAAACTTTTTTGTTGGCCCAACCAAATTTTGGTTGCTCTGACTAAACATTTTTCTCAGTGCAAACAACAAAATAAAATGACAGAAATTGTTCATTACAATGTAATTTAAAAGTATCAAGCATTATTTAGCGTTATTGTTATTATGTTTGTTTAACGTGTTTTTTTTACAACGCCGTTCGTCATGGTTAGGCCACCCACCAATTTTGTAATATTATCAGACGTCCAGAAATCGAAAATTCAATTTTTTATATAAAAAAAAAGAGTCAAAGATGCCATTTCCATTAAAAAAAATTGGTTTTAATAAATTTTGGCACTATTTTTTAACTTATTTTTAGACCAATTTTGAGAATAATCGGATTTTGGTTCAGGGGGCGAATTTTATTTTAATTTCAGATTTTATTTTATCATTTTCAGCTCAATTTCAGTATTTTTCTGCCATTTGCAGGTCTTTTTTGGTCAATTTCCTTCATTTCATATTGATTTACTACAGTGGCCCAACCTACACGACAAAAAAATTTTTTTTAAATGCCTGTAACTTTTACACTTTTGACCCAATAATTTTCTGATGTTCAGAAGAAACATTCCACTTTAGTGTATCTTTCCAATCATATACAAAGAGAATTTAAAATTTACCCTAAAACGGAAGTTATGGGCACAAGTCAAAAACTGGCCCAACCATGCTGACTCTCCCCTATATAATTCCTTGAAAAGAAACAATAATGTTGAAAATATAATTGGGAGCAGTATAAATAAATATCATTTATACCTATGTACACAACAAAAAAAATGCTTTTAACCAAAAGCAAATTATGATATTTTGCTTATGCAATTTTTTTTTTGTTATTTGCTTTTTATTTACTTATTGCGATGAAATTATTAATAATAGAAAATTATAATAGACCTATATCATTCTTTTAATAATTTTATAATAATATAAAACATATAATAATAATAATAATAATAAAAATGTTAATAATAATATAGGGTGCAGTTCCGAATAGCACATACCTCTGATTTCGATAAAACTTGGTATCCCTACGTAATTTGGTGCGCTGATTACGAAAATCATAGTGAAAATTGGCGGAAATTTAATTATCATGGTAAAAACCATAAAAAACACCATAAAATCATGGTTTTTTTCGATTATCTCGTAAAAAACAAAAAACTTCGAAAAAAGTTTTAGACGAAAGTTGTAGATCTCTAAAAAACACACATTTCATGTTTTATGCATTTTTTACCAAAAGTCATTATTTTTCGAGAAAAACGCAAAATAGTAAACACGGCCTTCGGCCGCGTAAGGTACTGCTCGCTTCTCTTTTTAAGAAATCTTGGCGAGAGGGGGTGGATGTGTCCGAAAGTAATTTGCAGAAATTATCATATTCACCATTACTCAGGATCCAACGAATTCCGCAAAATACTTTCGGCCATATCCACCCCCTCTCGCCAAGGTTTTTTTAAAAAGAAAAGCGAGCAGTACCTTACGCGGCCGAAGGCCGTGTTTACTATTTTGCGTTTACTGCTGCTGTAGACTCCACCCCACAATTTCACCAAATTACGTAGGGATACTAAGTTTTATTGAAATCGGAGGTATGTGCTATTCGGAACTATATCCATAATATAAAATATAAGACCAAAATCAAATACTTAACTGATTTAAAAATATAACCTAAAAAAATTAGTTCAATAACTTACTTAATTCTCATCCTGTTTAACGATGACATCAGTTTACATCCATGCCGCACATCTCTGTCTTCATTATAATTGTTGAATTCATTTTCAATATTTCAATCAAAGCACTTTTAAAATCATTAAATGAAAAACTATTAACATTCAAGTAACCAACGCAAATGAATAAAAACATTTGTTTGATATGAACAAGAAGACACACGAGGCGATGTGAAGTTGATTAGTCAACAAGGTTCGGTAGTCAAGATTATTTTAAACAGTACCTCTTAAGCTGTGTCTACATTGCAAAGGCGCTTGTATGTACTACACTCAGGGATGCGCACGTAATAAACGTAGTGTAGATTACGTGTAGTTTCATACGTATATAACGTACGTTATATACGTCACTCGTTTTCTACAAAACGTAATTTACGTTTTCAATATGGCGGCGATTTGTGAATTTGTGATATATGTAAACATAACCTTTCTTTAGTATTCATGCACTGTAAAAAAAATTTTGTGTCGATTTACACGCCGAATGTAAAATAACTTATTCAACAATGTTAATTTATTATGCTTTGTAAATTTATAACGTTAAACATTTTAATTTTCTTCTTCTTCTTCTTCTCTTTGTGTGACTTCTTGTCTTAGCAAACTGTCAGAACATTAAACAAAGATTAGAATTAGATGAGAGTTATATGATTACATTTTAATTTTACACTGCTGAACGTTGTGAATTCACACGGTTGTGTAATTTTACAAAGTTGGACATTGGAAAGTATGGCCATACATATGTGGCCATACTTTCCAATGTCCAACATTGTAAAATTACACAACCGTGTGAATTCACAACGTTCAGCAGTGTAAAATTAAAATGTTTAACGTTATAAATTTACAAAGCATAATAAATTAACATTGTTGAATAAGTTATTTTACATTCGGCGTGTAAATCGACACAAAATTTTTTTTACAGTGTATATATAATATATTAAAAGGTTATGTTTGGTTATCAGGTTATGTTTGTAAATGATTTAAATTTAAATCCGCCATCTTGATTTAGTTTCATACATTTCATACGATTTATACGTATATTACGTTTTTGACGTAAATTACGTCAAAAACTCTCAGTTACGCGTAACTGCGCATCCCTGACTACACTATTGGCCAGATATGCCTACACTTTTTTTGGAGCTTCTACAATAGGTCCGAGAGGCAAGTGCAAGTCCGAGTGGCTCGGACTTTGTTGCGCGCGCATCGTGTTGACTTTTATTTTTGTAAGATATTTGATAATAAATAGTAATTAATTATTAAATTATGAGTAATTAATTAATAATTTAACAATTAATTAATTAATAATGAGTAATTACCATCAATTATCTTAAAAAAATAAAAATTACACGATGCGCGCGCAACAAAGTCCGAGCCACTCGGACTTGTACTTTACTTTCGGACCTATTGTAGAAGCTCCATTTGTCCTTTTCTAACACACGTGTTGTCATGTTAACACGTACACGTTAAAAAAGGACAAAAAAGTATAGACATATTTGGCCATGAGTGTACACCTGAAATTCTAAACACGGTTCCAGAATAGGTGCAAAAGCCAAGTACACTCGTGGCAAGATATGCTTACACCTTTTTGTCCTTTTTTAACACACGTGTTGTCATGGCAACATATATGCGTTAGAAAAGGACAGAAATATGTAGATATATCTCGCCAGGATTGTACAAGTCCAAATGAAAATCCAATGAGTGCAAGAGTGATAGATAGACTACCCATCTCTTTCGCACTCATGGAATTTGACTTGTACTTGGCTTTTGCACCTATTCTAGAACCACCTTAAAGGTGAATACAGAATAGGCACAAAGTCCAAGAAAACCATGAGTGTAAGAGAGATAGCTAGACTATCTATCTTTCTTACACTCATGGTTTTCTTGGACTTTCACGTGCCTTTTGCACCTACTGTAGAACCTCCTTAAAAATCCATGTATTTTCAAGCGTCTTTCGTTACCTTTGCATTGTAGAGACAACTTAAAAGAGACAAAAAAATATCACTATATCTGTCACTCTCATGTTTAAAGGCCAAAATAGAACAGCTTCGCGAATGTCATTCACGCGAACAGAAACCAATTGGGATCGGCTAAACTGCAATACGCCATCTGGTGGGGACCCATTCTCTCCCTCCATTTTCTTTCTTTGTCTCTCTTCAATTAATAGGTTAGAAAGAGTAGAAAAAACAAAATGGAGGGAGAGAATGGGTCAAAGTTACTAGATTGTTACTAGACCACCGTTCCCAATTGGTTTCCATTGTTCCCACTCGCCATTTGTCATAATTCTTGTCAACTACCGCACCCTGCTCTAGGAAAAATTTAGTGACTTTATTGTTAAAATTAAAAGTTACTATAAAGTTACTAAATTTTTACTAGAGTAGGATGCGGTAGTTGACGAGAATTATGACAAATGGCGAGTGGGGACAATGGAAATCAACCATGATTCATGAGATAGAAAAGGACACAATTATATCTTTGTCCTTTTCTATAATGCATGAAAATCTCTTTCGCGAAGCTATTGTGCGTTTGACAACTATTGTAGAAGCAGCTTTATGCCGTCCCCAACATGGGACGGCAGCTGTAAGCGTTAAATTTTGTAACTAGATAATGAGTATGAAAGAGATAAAGATATTTACATTAATATTTTTTTTATTAATATTCTTTTTTTTATATTATTATAAAATTATAAAAAGAATGATAGAGTCTATTAGGAATTTCCTATTATAAATTTTTATAAGTTAAAACGTATTTCTTTATAATATAATATATAAATGTTTAACATTCGTCAAAGAAAATGCATGTAATTCTTATATTTATTGTCTTTTGTAAAAAATAAATTGCTAAAACAAGAACTAAATTTGATTTTTAATTATTTACAGCATCCTTATCAGTAGCAGTTCTATCAGCAAATATTGTTTGGAATTCACCAGGAATTCCTCATCTAAAGAGTAATGAATCTGATTTTTCTGTGACAGATACACAAGGTGGTTGGATTATTTCCATATATCATTTTGCCGATATTATTGGCTCTCTTCTCAATATTCTTCTAATCGATCGAATTGGTAGAAAATTTAGTTTACTCCTGAGTGGAATACCGGCTTTAATGGCTTGGATTTTGATAATTAATGCAAAAAATATTTTTTACATATTAATTGCACGATTTATCGCAGGAATTGGTCAGGGTTTCACCTATAATACTGTAGTAATATATTTGGCTGAAATTGCCGAAAAAGATATTAGAGGAACACTTGTGGCAATTATGCGAACAATTCAGGGTCTCTTTCATTTTCTATTGACTGGCGTTGGAACATTTTTCTCCTATCATACCTTAAATTTAACATCAATATTTGTGCCAATTTTGTTTCTTATCACATTTTCATTTATGCCCGAGAGTCCATATTTCTTTTTATTACAAGGAAGAGATGATGATGCTATGAAAAGTTTAATGAAACTCAGAGGACACACAAATTCTTTGTCATTAAAAGTCGTTGTTAGAGAAATGAAACTTGATATTGAGGAAAAAGAGAGATATAAAAGTAATTCAGTGAGGGAATTATTTTTAAGAAATTACAATTTAAAGTGTTTATTCATTGTCATGTGTATGAAACTAACACAAGTTATGGCTGGTCATAGTGCAATTTTTAATTACACTCAGGAAATTTTTCATCATAGTGGCTCATCAATACCACCGAAAATTTCAGTTTTAATTTTATCAGGAATTGTTCTTCTCTCAACTTTGGCTGCTGGTTTAATAATGGATCGAATTAGTAAAAGAATTACATTTTTAATTTCAGGAATATTATCAGCTATTTTTTTGGCAACAGTGGGAATTTTTTTCTTTTTAAAATTTTCAACAAAAATAGACGTTACTCCAATTACATGGCTACCATTAACATCACTTATTTTATATGAAATTGTCTATTATTTGGGAATTGCAATAATACCATATATTTTACAAGGTGAATTATTTGCAATGAATGTAAAAGGAGCGGCTGTGGCTTTTGGTATGATTATTGGATCATGTTTTTCATTTATTTCCAATACTGGCTATAATTATATAAGTATTCATGCTGGTGTTTATATTGCATTTTGGTTTTATGCAATTGTTGCAATTATTGGATCGATACTTACTTTTCGAATAACGCCAGATTCCAATAGAAAGACATTGGAAGAAATTCATGCAATGGAGAATCCTGAGATGAAGAGAAAACTGGAATTAGAACGTATTAATCGACTAAAAAAATAGCAATAATTTTTTCAAGTATTTGTAAATTATTTTTAATGTAATAATTAAAATAACTGGAAAAACATATAACAACATTGAACATTTATTTACAAAACTTATGACCTAGAAGAAAACTTGATAAAATCTTATATATATATATCGTATAGAAAAATATTACAAAATATTGTATAAGAATTTAAAAATTAAGTATGTACATGTTAAAAAAAAGACTATTTACAGAAATCACTTGTCACAATTTTTCAGTCTAGATGAGGAAATAATCGGGTCCAACAAAAGATCCACATTTGGGAAAATCTTCTGGCGCTTGAACCATATCACTTTGTTCCCCAACTTGTAAAATAACATCCAATCCCCGTGTCCATTCGGGTGCATGTTCATCACGTAGCATCCAATAGCCTAAAATTTTTATAAACAATTAAATTTTTTTTTTTGTTCTGCGTCATTTAAAAATTCGAAAAAAATCTTAATCCCACTAAAGTTAAACTCGAGATATCTCGGGGTAACTAAAAACTTTATATCTTCTAAACAAAAGAACGGATTTACTTGATCCAAAATGCAAATTGAAGGTGATTGTCTAGTTTTTTTAGAAATATATGATAGCAACGATAAGAAATTTCTTTAACAATTTTACATAATTTTTAATGAGTTTGGGGCCGTCCATAAACCACGTAGCCAGTTTATGGGGAGGAGGGGGGTTCAGTGAAATTCTACGGTAAACTACGTGGGGGAGGGGAGGGGTTCGAGCCATGACTACGTAGTTGTATTTATTAAGTCATTTATTTTGATATTTTCTAAATTGCGCGGGTAATTCCAATGTCGAATTGAGCGATATATGAATATAAAGTAGAATTTTTGTAAAATTAAATATGTATAAATTATTTTAAAATGAAATGATATTGAAATGAAAATGAAATGAAATTATAATATTGCATTTTTAATGTTTCGAAATCACCTGCTTTTAGAAATATTCCTTAATCAAAAGAAATTAATGCAAACAATATTGTAAACAAATTTTTATTAATTAAGAATTCTACAATTTACTAAATTTTCATTCATTGAAATTTTTAATTAGCTATATTTTTATTTATCATAATTATTAGAATGAATTTCACTTTGTCGATTTAGCTGCCAAAACAAAATGGTAAATACATTATTATTTCATTTTAACAAAAAATTTAACTGAAACCTCCAAGTAACAAGTTTCAGGGGAATCTAAACGATTTTTCAATTTTTGTCTGCCATATTGGATCCGCCATTTTGAATTTTTGAAAACTAACACCGGATTCGTAATCAGCGGCCCAAGAATGTTTCAGTTAAACTTATTTTTATTAGAATTAATTTTTAATAGAAATTAAAAGTTATGTAATGTTAATATTATTAATTAATTATTCGAATTACTATATAATTTGAAAATTATGTAACGTAAAATTTTCATTAAAAGTAATTTTTTCTTATTAAAAAACAGGTGTAATATTCTTACAGATGAAATTTTTGTTAAATAAAATTTAAATCCCTTCAGGTATTAAAAAGTGTGTAAAAGCATATATAAGAGAATTTAATTTATTGAAAAAATCATTAGTATAAATTATTTATTATTATTATTTTATTATTATTTATTATTATTATTTTATTATTATTTATTATTATTAGTATAAAAATTTAAAATTAAAATTCCTTATGTGTTCTTTAATTGAATTCTCTTTATTGGAAATTGTTATCTATTTAATGGAAATACATTTTTAAATAAGTAAAAAAAAACTACGTTCTACCAGTGGAGGGGGGGGGGGGTTAGAGCGAAAGTCTACGTTGGTCTACATGGGGGGGGGTCAAAAAGTGCCAAAAATTGGGCTACGAGGTTTATGGACGGCCCCTTTCTTAATAAAACAATAATGTGCAATTTTATCAGAAATTTTATAAATTCAGCTTACGAAAATCATTAGTCGGGGATTTACGTGGTCGTTGATTACGAATCTGATGTCAGTTTTTAAAAATTCAAAATGGTAGACATTTTTGAAATTTTTTCAAAAAATATTTCTGCTATATTAGATCCGCCATTTAAGGAGGGTGGCGGGTCAACATAACCTCAAAAAACCTGTGAAAATTAAAAAATTGTTTTTAACGCAAATAAAAATATAATAAATATATTAATTTCAAACAATTTTAGAAGATCTAGATTTACTTCTATCGAAAAAAATTATTTTTTTCCAAAATATTTTGTCAATAATTATTTTTTTAACATTTAGTTTTTTTTTCTTTTAAATCAGACAAAAATTGCAATTTTTCACCTATTTTTATAAACAAAAGCTCATTTTACTAAGTGAAACATTCTCTACAATTGTAGATATATTGTAGATATATGAATAACATACTTATTATAATATAAAAAAGGTAACAATTGTAGAGAATGTTTCACTTAGTAAAATAAGCTTTTGTTTATAAAAATAGATGAAAAATTGCAATTTTTGTCTGATTTAAAAGAAAAAAAAAACTAAATGTTAAAAAAATAATTATTGACAAAATATTTTGGGAAAAAATAATTTTTTTTCGAAAGAAGTAAATCTAGATCTTCTAAAATTGTTTGAAATTAATATTTATTATATTTTTGTTTGCGTTAAAAACAATTTTTTAGTTTTGACAGGTTTTTGAGGTTATGTTGACCCGCCACCCTCCTTAAAATTTTTGAAACCCGACTTCAGATTCATGATCAGCGACCCACAAAACCCCCGAGTAACGATTTTCAATTAAAATCCGTTGAATTTAAGAAAAAGTTTTCAAAAATGTCCGTCATATTGGATCCGCCATCTTGAATTTTTAAAAACGGATCTTGGATTCGTAATCAGCGACACCGAAAACTAAATTAACCAATGTTGGAATATAAAATTTTCTATGCAGGATTAAATCAACCATTTTGGTATCGATTTCTGATATTTAATTAAACCGTAGGAGGGTTAAAAATACTCTTAAAACTCTGAGGAATAAAAATCTGTTGAGAAAATTTATGAGCGATAATTATTTTAAAAGTTATGATAAAAATTGTGTTGCACAGCGTCAAAAATTATCAAAAATATTTCCAAACACAGTTTAATGTCATGTTTTTTAATTTATAAATAATTCACGAATTCTGGTTCTTAATAACAATGTAGTATTAAAAATTTTGTAAATTTTCAATTTAATAAAAATTAGCAGATTTTTAAAAACTTATCAAACTTTTTTTTAGCTTTACTCACTACTAAATTAATAAATAAAATAGTTAAACTAGTTTCAAAATTTTATTCAAAAATTGTTTAAATATATTATTGTTATTTACTAAATTTTTACACTATACACCAAGAAAGATGCAATATTTTCTTAATTTTACAATTTACTGAACTTTATATAAATATCGATAAATAATAAAAATACATTAGGAAAAAAATTGCATCTTTCTAGGTACAATGTAAACAAAATACGTAAATAACAACATTTATTTATTAAACAAATGAAAAATTCATTGTAACATCAAAATATATTATTTGTTAACAAAAAATAATTTTAATCAAAAACTTCGATGATTCCAATTCTTTTTTTACAAATGAGAAGTAAATTTTCAAAAGTTGATAAATTTATATTTTATTATTTCAAGGAATTTAAACAAATAACATTTCTCACCTAACCACTTAAGTTAATTTTAAGGAAGAAAAATTGTAATAAATCAATTGTAGAAAAATTTTTGTTTGATTCACGACGATTTATTTTAAGACTTTAAAATTTTTATATCTCTCTCTATTCTCATAAAAAAACAGATAATTGTTTTGTTAACTTCAAATCCTAGAATTAATCTTTTTAAGTAAATAATTTTACACTTTTGCTTGTGGTGATCGAAAAAAAAAATTTTTATAACAAATTTAGAGGACGTTAATAAAATTATTAATTAAATAATAATTCTTTAAATGTTTTTAATTTCTGTAAAAAGAAAAAAAGAAAGAAAATTATAAGTCTATCATAATTACCAGGATTATCGGCTTTAAATCTGATAGCAACAGCTCCGAATTTTGGAATGATCACAGTATCTTTGAGCGGTGCTTGATCCAAATTACGAAGGAAAAGTGATTCTTGCTCGTCTAGTCTCTTTATTTCTTCTAGTGCCATACTTTTTGCAAATGTTCTACCTCCTACCACGTAAAAACTGTATCCATGTAGATGATAAACTAAATCTTCCAAGCCACCTATTAAATAAATTAGATTATTTAAATTTCAAAATTCCCTTTATGGACCAAGTTCAATATACAAAATAGCATTTTTTTTAAATTTTAGATCTATTACAATTACCTTGATCTATAATAACGATTTCCACAGTTGCACCCAATGGAATTTTTCGCAAATGAACACATTCACAAGTTAAACTTGTAATATCCTCCAATTTACGTGGTAACGAAGGACTTTGACATCGTGTTGTGTCAGATACAATTAAATTCGAAACTTCCTCATCTCCAAATCCTGAGCAAAACATTGTTTCCTGAATATCCACACCCTGAGTTAATAGAGGCGATGAAGGATAAGTAAACGTGGCATTATCAACATTTAAAACCTTAGTTTCAACATTCCCACTGCCTGAAAGAAAATTTTCATATATTTATTTAGAAACGGAAAAAAAAGAAAACAAAAGTCTAAACTAAATTAAAAATCAAGTAACCTGAAAATTCGTGACTCTGAATTCTATAATTAATTGGCAGATACATCTTGACATCGACATATGGATTTGACAATAACATAGGCATTTTTCGAATAGACGTTACTTCGGTAACGCATATTTTTTCTGGATTTTCACAAGTATTTGCTGGATCTGTTGTCATAAATGATTCTGAATCAACATTCTCATCTCCCAAAGAGGCTGGAGGTGAATTACTACTCGATCCTTTGTATTTAATTATTGCTAATCCACTATTCACTTTCGATCTACATTCTTTAGATGATTTCACATTCATCCAATAGGTCGATATTGGCTTATTCGCTTGAAGTATAAAATCAGCTCTTTCACCTACAAATCCAAAAATTTTGTATTAAAAAAAATGGGGGGACAATTTAGTCTTAAATCACCAAATTTTTTTTTTGTATATTAATAAACACAAAACCTTTTGCCAAAGTAATTGAATTGACTTTTTGAGCTGAAACTGGATGTCCATCGAGAGCAATTAAAAGAACGGAATGACCATCAATGGACAAAGTCATTGGACATGATCCAGAGCCAGCTCCATTGGCAACTCGGAATCTATGTCTTCGTCCAGGTGTAACGATAAAAGTTGTTAGTGGTACTTTAGGTCCACTAGATTGTCTCCCTTTGCCATTCACAAGAAGTGTATCCATTTCGGTTGCATCTCCACTCGAGGAACTCTCAGGTACAATGGGTTGCTGCCATTGGCTCAAAAGTATCACATGATTTGGATCATCAATGTCATATAAATCCCTATGTGGTTCCTTTAATTGTGCTTGTCTCACAATTAACGAACCGAAAACTCCATTCCCAACATCAGCGCCTGTAAGTTATATTTTGAAAATATATATTTATTAAGGAAAAAATCAGGCTTTTCTGTATGAAAAAAAAACATTTATTGGGGTTGCCACAAGAATAAATTTTTCAATTCCCCTGACATTAAAAAATTTTGCCTAACAAATTTTTTTTATTAAATTTAATTAAGGTTATGTGGGAACCTCCCACGTGACCTAGTATGGGAAAATGTGTTTTGGTAGTATACGTTTCACTCTAAAATGAGAAAAGATTTTTGTCTAAAATTTTGAGGGATGATAGATTAGGGTACAAGGAATCTCGCTGTTCTCCGAAAAATAGATAATTTTGTGTTAAATTTTTAAGAAATGAAGTTTAAAAAGTGGCATTTTTAAACGAAAAAGGAAACAAAGATGGCGGCGCATACACAGACGTTGCTTGAGTGTGTCAGTGCTCCAGTAAACAGCGCCAATTCGAGCGAGTGGCCGCTGAATGAACTATGATAAAACACATTATTTTACTATTTATTGCTTTATTTTTATTATTTTTGCGTTAAGTTATGGTAAATGAGTAGAATAGCGAGATTCCATGTACCAAACAAAATCATTTCTCCAAAATTTTAACCCAAAATCATTTTTTATTTCAGAGAAAGTTTCAAACCACAAAAAAACGTCCTTTGCCCACATACCCTTAATTATAATAGAAAGCAGGGATTTCAATACCTTTTTTAAAATGGTACCTATTTTAAAAAATAGATAAAAAGGTATGAGCCAAAAGTTTTGAACGTTCAAATAAACAAAATATTTTTTTCCAATCTATAAATTATTAGAAATTATAATGTCAATGTAAAATAAAACAGTAAATTAAACAAATATTAAATTAATAACTACTTTTTAGATATTTAAAACAATATTTTGTAATAAAATTCGTATTTAAAGAAGTTACAAAAAAAATTTTTGTTCATTTGAACGTTCAAAACTTTTGGCTCATAAAAAGGTAAACTTTTTACCTAAAGTAGGTATCTATTCAAATTTTTCATCAATAATTGAAGCATTCATAGTTTAATATTTGGGTATATAAATTGGAATTTTTGATAAATAGAAATTTAAATCAATTAAAATTTGGACAATTTGAAATTCGGTTGATTTGATACTAAAAATCAATTAAAAGAATAAATAAACAATCAGATAATTTGAAACCTAAATCAATTAAAATTTGGACAAATTAAAGTTAGGTTAATTTGAAAATTAAATCAATTAAAATTTGGATAATTTTAAATTTAAGGGGAGAGACCAGTGAAATTTAAAGCTATCAAAATTTATACTGTTTAGAAGTATCAATTTATTTTCTAAAAATATAGAGTATTTAAAACTATAATATACTATAAGAAATTAAAAACTATTGATTCATTAATAGTTTTTTAAATAAAATTTAAAATTCTTAAAAACTTAAAATTTGAACTTCTCTTAAAATTTTAATTCTTTCTCACTGCCTATTTTTTTTACACTTTTTTCATGATTCTGAACAATCAATCAATATGGCTTTTAGAAAATTTAAGAAATTTGTAAAATGATCAAAAATTATTTAAGAAAATTTTTGATCATAGAATATGGTTTTAGGTTTCAAAAATGTGTCGAAAAAAAATTTGACACTTCGAAATAACTTAAATTTTTATTTGTTTAAATTTTACTGTTAAAACCTACTTTTTAAATTTATTTACACTGAAAGAAAATTCATACTACTAAGTATTAAACTCATATTAGAGTTTAATATAAATGTTACAATTTAGGGAAAAAGTGCACCTATACTGATTACTATTACAGTTTTTATGAAAATATATAATGAATTTAAGAGTAACTATTATTTTAAGAAATAAAAATTAGTATATTTATTTTAAAAATTAGTATTTTCTTTATGAATTCACAGAATACGAAATATTATAATAAATAATTTCACAAAATAGTAAGAAAAATAACATATATCCGTATACTTATTTCACATTTTGTAAAACTTTATACTAAAAGTCACGGATTTTCCCGAGAGACTACGAATTTAACCGAAGTTCTGTCTGTTTGCGGCTTCGTGTCCTACTCGAACTTCTACGACTTGATCCGATTTTCGAAAGTGTTGTTAACCAGCAGAACGTACCTATCAACTGTCAACACACGTGTTTCAAATGTTTATAGTGCCACAGAAAACATTTATAATTATTAAATTTATTATTATTTTTATTAATTATTATTTTTTGATGTCATCTTTACAATTATTTGATTTTTATTTGCAATAAAAATTTTTATAACAATCATAATTTTTAATCTGAAAAAAAAGAAAAATCTATATAAACAATTAATAATAAAAATGAACCCAGCGTAACCTCTATAAAATTACACCATTGGCACTAGTAAACTATTTTTTATTATTAAGTTATTATAAGTAAACTTCTTTCTCGCAAGTGGTAAAAATATTCAGTAGTTAGTATATAAGAAAACGATATATGCCGACCCCCAGCGAAATTTATCGTTATGCGTATAGAATTGTAAGTGTAGGTTTCGTTGCGATCGTGTAATGTCTATGTATAAGCGAAATGAACGTGCGTGTTCATTAGTATGTGTATTAACCTGTATCGTAAGTGTGAATGTGTTGTTCCTAGTCTCACTCCTCTTCCTCCCGAGAATTAACGGAAACGTCCGAGTTTCCACTTTTTTTCCCTTTTCTTCCGACATTCTGAATTTTTCGTATAAAGTTTTACAAATATTAGAACGCTACATTCCATATAATGCAACAACTCTATGAGAATTTAATATAATATTTTCAAATATTGGTAATCTTTTTACGTTCTTTCTACAATAATTATTAATATTTGAAAAAAGATTTTAAGTTGGAACTTTAATATAAAGTATATTGAATTTTAATAAAAAGTACACTTTTCCCTAAATTCTAAAAGAATATATTAAAATGTAATACGCATTTTGTTATTTTTTCCTATGAAATTTCTTTCAGTGTATTTATTTATTTAAATATAAACGGGAATAATAATTCAACTTCTTTCACAATTTCTATTATTTTTTTACGGCAATTTTTTCATAGACTTTATTTATGATTCTGAAAATTTTTGAATTAAAAAAATATTTTTTTTCACATTTCAATAATTATAGACTCTAAATAATGCCAGAAAAAATTGGTGTAAATAGAAAACGTAAATTTTGAAATTTCACTGGACCCTCCCCTCAAATATTATGGTACACTAATCAAATAATCTTTAGATTGATAAAAATTTCGTTAATTTTAAGTTTTGATCTACATATTGAATTTGCGTATTTGATGAAAATTTTAATTAACAAATTTTGTTTCTTCAATAAAAATTAGAATTGATTGTCAGTTCGATTACTTGATCCAAATTTAAATTAAAATTGAATTGAATTGTTGCTTGATTAGAAGTAAAATTTAAATTAAAAGAGAATTAGAATTAAATTTACATTTATTGAAATTTGGCCTTAATTAATTTTTAAATCAATGGAAAATTTTAAAAAATTTAAGATTTTGTCAATCGAATCATTTAACAGAAAATATGAAAATCTGTATTTTTGTGTTCTCTAAATTAATATAAATTTAGGAATGTTAAAAAATATTCTTTTTAAACTAATAAATTGTTTTTCAACATTCTTGAGCTTAAATCAATGTTTTTACATTGTAAATTTAATTATTTTTTGAATATTACATCTGCAAATTTATCAAATCATGAGAAAAGTGAAAAAGGTAACAAATTATCAAAAGCAGATGAAATAGGTGACAAAATTTTAAACAAGTAAAAAAAGGTGAATAGGATCCCATCTAAAAGGAAAAATTTTTATAAACTTTTTACGCATACTGGAAGTATATAAGTTGACTTTTTCTATTTTGTCCAATTTTCTAAATTTCCCTGAAAACAAATTTTTTCGCCTGACATTTCCAACAGAAAATTTCCCCTGACTTGTGGCTACCCTGTTTATGTAAAATTATTTTCTGATTATTTTAAAAGGGTTCTTAGAGACTTTTTTTGATTTAACAAAAACGACTCTAGAAAATGAATAAAAGGTTGTTTCATCAGACACAATTTATATAGTAGGTATATGAATTATGAATAAAAATAATTTTCGTAAAAAAATACAAAAGGAGCATAAATTTGCAAAACGGTAAAAAAAAAATCTCAAGTGCTCACGGCAAAAAGAATTTGATACTGTAGGAGAGTTTTCCCTAAAAGTATGTGTGGAATTTTTAATATATCTCCAATGTCAAAGAACAAATATATATAATATTTAAAAAACAAAATATAAAAATAAAATTATATTACGAAAAATATTAATTATTATCAATTGAGAAATAAAGATATATATGTAATATAAAGTTATAGATATAATTTGTTCTGACAATGACCCTTGTTCTGTTCTAATTTAATAGGTGAAAGTAGTAACCGGAATGAGCATGCCAGAGGTGAGTTCCAGGTGCAGACGCTCGAAATTTATATTGAAAGGTCGTGTAACTGGGAATTGGACATTGCGTCACTAGTGGAGCTCCATCCATACAAGGTGTTTCAAGTTGAGGTTGTCCTCTCCAATGTATTACTGCAGCTTTCCCTGGAAGCCTATTTACAACATCCACCACTAGGATATCATTTTCGCATACCTGCAATAAATTTTTATTCTTACATTTTTTTTTTCATATTACTATAAAGTTATTATGATAAAACTGTAATGATAAAATAAGTGTTGAATTAGCTCGCCGGATCAGGGTTCGTTTTTAAGCAACGATATTACATTAAAATTACAGACACAATTCGAAAAATAACGTTTAATTAACAAAAAAAGAGACGACATAACCTAAAAAATTACATACAACGCGATTACAATAAAAGTACGACGTAAATGATTTTACAATAAGAATATACGACGAGAACAATTTAAATAAGAAACGATCAAAAAATACGGATTGCATTACTCTACGTTACGTTACGTTCCCTACGTCGGAGGAACGAAAGCGACGACGAACAACTACGCCAGGGGTTACGTACAAAACGGGAACTCGAAAATGCAGTAATGCTGCTTCGTGTCTTCAACGGGTAATACCTCGTTGAGACGAGAGAAATACTCTCATACGATACGTCGGAGTAATGCTCCATAATACTTGGGGAAATGCCACTCACCGACTCCGTGAACCAAAAGAGTCTGCGATTTTTTTTTTGACTCTGAAAACCATATTTATTTATCATTGAAAGTTGTACATTAAAGTTATACAACTTAATTCTAAGATATATATTCAACGCCTGTTATTTTAAGTAACTTATCTGAATGTTTCTTTATTTTATTAAAGTTTATATATTTAATAATATTTATATATTCTTTGTTTGGGTAAAAAGGTAGAATAATTCAAAAACCCCATTAGTCTTCGATTTCCTGCGGGAGTGCAGCTTATATATCCGATCGGTGGCCGGGACGCTTGCGAGAGAGCTCTCGGCGGTATAGCTCTCGCGGCACGATCGGGTACTACGACATACTTTGCGGTCGGTAACATTTTATCGACATGGGGTATATACTTTTATCGACGTGGGGCAAATATTCAATACAATTATTTACCCACGAATTTTCAAACAATCTTTACAAAACACAACCTTGCACTTCTTTAAAATACTTGCTAAAAGATGAATTTTTAATGAAGCTTGAAGTACGCAACGTTTATGATAAACTATTTTTAAAGAAATAATTTTTTAAAATGAAAATTTTTTAAATTTTTCGCCTAAAAAATATTTCTCCTAGTTTTTATTACTCAACAAATTTTAAAAACGTATTTTTTAGGCAAAAAATTATTTCTTTAAAAATCGTTTATCATAAACGTTGCGTACTTCAGCTTCGTAATTTTTATTCTGCCAACGTTTATTTTTTTTTCATTCGTTTAAATAAATTTAATTTTCAAAAAAAAAATAATACACCAATTCAGTGAGATTTGAAACAATTATTGTCTTTTTAGCAATTTTCCTATGTAATAATAGCGATAGAATAAAAATAGTAATAAAATATAGGAAAAATTAATAATTACTTGAATGCTCGGTCCGGGCATTTGACGATTAGCAGTAAAAAGACCCCGTTTTCTTCCATCAGCCGAAACGCAGTGTTTAGCTAAACATGCAGTTTCATTGTGAGGACATTCTCCACAGGATCTGTAACAAATTTTTGAAAATATAATTTTTATTCGATTTCGTACAATAATTTGGTGTAAAATAGTAAAATGAAAAAAAAAAAAAGATAATTTATATCCTGTTTCTTATATAAACTGTACATATGTGTATCAGTGAAATCGTCATCGTTAGTCAGGCAACATTCGAGTATGGTGATTTTGGCGAAAGATGCTTTTACGCAATAATTTTTTATCAAGTAAATTACATACACGTAGATATATATATTAACTGAAAGGATACTTTTACTGGAGATCAGTTTTCTGAGAGAAAAAGCTGTTGGAGAAGGTAAATATGTCTTCAAGGTTAACTACCTCTACACTTTAGTAAACTTGAACAAAATATATCTCAAGGTCCAAGACCTTGACAAGAACTGAATTTATATTTCTATATATATTTATTAGTTCCAATTATGATAATTTTTTAAAATTAATATTTAATTTTTATCAAAGACTAAAATACGATTTCGAAAATATCTACACATAAATTTCTTCTAATGCACAATTTTCTAATTACTTAATTGTAAAAGGTATTGATTCGTTTTCTGTTTATAAAAAAAAAATATTACAACATAAAAATAAAATTAATAATTCATTCTAAAAATCTTTTGGATTCTGTATAACATTTAACTGACATTAAATTAAAGGTCACGAAAAAATTTAATTTAAATTGTGAAAATAAAAAAGACACGATTTTTTTAATGAACTACCAACATATCATTTTTGCTCACAACCAATTAATTGATTTCAATTTTTTATTTCTGTTAGTAAAATTGACTTATTCTTTCATGAACTTTTAAAAGAAAATTTTTTTTTTTTATATACATAAACTAAATTATAACTTCTGTTCTAAAATTACAATTGCGGAAGAAATAATATGCAAATCTTTCAAGATCGAATCGCGTCACTTTCATAAGACAAGAAGTAATACACAATAAGAACGATTGAAAGTTATTTACTCAAATTACGTACTTTCTATTAAGTGTCATTCTTTAAATAAAAATCATCAAATCACTATCGTTAAAGCCCTAAATTGAAGCTATTACATTTGCAAGACAACTCTCTGCTCGTCCAAGCATAATTGTAATTCGATCTTGAGATTTTTTTTCTAAAATGAACTGCACTTCAGTAACTTTCTAAAAAAAAAAAAAAAAAAAAAAAGAAGTGATGTGAAAGGAAGTATTTATAAGATGTAAGAGTACCTTTGGATGAACTCTGAACGCGTGGAAAGTGTTACCAATTAATGAAAAAACGTTTATTGGAGTGACGGATTGAGATTTTCACATTTTTATTTCATTCATACATCGATTATAAGAAACTACATTTACAACCAAGTGGTGTATGTATTTGATATCTCAAAAACTATTTGACCGCGTTTTATTTCAAAAATTAAACATTTTAATTACCATCAACCAGGGTAATTATATTCACAAAAACGCTACTTTTTTAACTCAAATTAAAATTAAAAATTAACAAAAAAAAATTTACTACCATCAACCGGGGCTATTCTGGTAAATCAGGGGCGATTATGGTATACAAGCTAGTTTTTAAAAATATTAATTTCGAAATATTAAAATTTGATCTAGCTGTAATTGAGCTGCTCGGAAGAAGAACTCGCTTTTCGCTCGGAATTGACAATTACATTCCAGTTTTAGGCATAGAAATAGGAAAAAAAGAAATTTCAAAATTTTGATTTTTAAAAAGTAAATTTTTTTTTTCCTATTTCTGTGCCTAAAACTGGAATGTAATTGTCCATTCCGAGCGAAAAGCGAGTTCTTCTTCCGAGCAGCTCAATTGTGGTGTGACAATTTCAGGCCTCGAACTACCTTCGGCACTAAAAATTACGTACTTTACGGACCAAAAAATAAAAAATTAGAATGCAGTAAAAAAAAGTTTTTTTAATTTTTGTGTGGAAATTATTCAAAAAAATTGAAAATTAACATTAAAATTTTACTAAAATATATATTCATTAAAAAGGTAAATCAACTAAATCGACACCACTTATCTGAAATATTTTGCAAAACACTATAAAACTTTAGGACATCCAGATATGTAGATTGAAAACTGACGATAGGTATAATAGCCCCTGGGATGGTATATAATTACCCCAGTTGACGGTACATTATCTAAAACCTATTATAATACTATAAAATTTTAATCCTATAATACTTTATTTAAATATTTTAAATGAAAAAATAAAAATTTGAATGTTGCTTATAATTATAAACAAGAATATTTTTAAAAAAACGTTTATATCTGTCAAGTTTATGATATGTACTTAATTAAATTTATTTCTTATTTCACTAAAGAAAAAAGTAAATCATTGTGAGTACAAATCTTTTGATTCAAACACATGTTCCATTTTATAAAGTGCGGCTGTTCTTTCTCATTATATAGATTTATTACACCTGTTTCCTTATATAATATGGATTCCGCAATACCTTGGGTGTAAAATAGATTAGATTCGCGTGCAATGGCAATCTTTCAAAATTTGATTAATTCAAGTATAGCTATTATCAGATTTATGTAATGATAAATAATAATTGTTGTATACAATTATGATATTAAGAAATATCCTTTCCTTATATATATATAGTATATTTATATAGAATTACTCTTTTATGTTTATAAATTCTGAATATGTAAATTTATCGCACGTATTAATTTACTAAATAATAGTGTAATATATATACTTTCAACAAAATAGTACATCATGTATGCAATTATTAATTATGATTAGTAATTAATAATAAATATATTAAAATTATTATACTTTATTTACTCGCCCTCCATAAAGCAGGGTTTGAGACTTCAAAGATATATCAAAATTCAAATTCCTTAATTTTACATAATTAATTTAATCTAATCGCAATTCTTATCCTAAATTTAAGTATCAGAGCTTCTGTTTACAGTTCCTTTTGCCGATACCACATTTTTTTTACTTTTTAACCTTCTCATTTACCAATTCATTCATCACACTCTATTCACACACAGAAAAAAACTGAACTCAGAATGAGCCGTGTAGGCGGCTCATTTTGATGTGCAACAAAAATGAACCAGGTTGGTGGCGCCACTGTCTCTGTCGTTTAGCATTGGCTCATTTTGATTTGCATCAAAAACGAGACAAGGTTTTTTCTGTGCATACATTTTCTTAGTCTTCACTGTTATATGTGACGCTCCGCAAGAAAAAGGAACCTTAGAGGCAAAAAATTTTAGGTTATGTTTGTAATTTTTGGATTGAAAATGCACAAAGAGAACGCCCATACTGTACATTACACAGAAAGAAAAAAAATATCAAATTTTATAAAAGTATTTTACTTTTTATATAATACACGAGCTAAAAGTTCTGAACGTTCAAATGTACTAAATATTTTTTTCAATCTATAAATTATTAAAAATTACCATGGCCATGTAAAATAAAACACTAAATTAAACAATTATTAAATTAATAACTCCTTAACCTTAACCCTTAAAGAATTTGCAAAAAAAATTTCGTTTATTTAAGGGTCATTCTCACAAAAAGGACAAATGACACGTTCATGACATTATTTTTAATAAATAATTATAATAATTGAAAATGTTGCGGGCCTTATTATAGAAGTCAACAGAATTTAATAAGATTTTATAAAAAAAAATTGACAATTTTAAATAATTGAATATAATCATGTTTATATAGTGTAAAAACTCCCCTCCGTTACCGTTCGCGAAGTAAGTTTTATTTAAAGAAGAATTATTGCATTCATACTGCAATAGGAAAACATCTTTTGTCTAGTAACATCTACTAATTACATTATTTATAATTGATTTATAAAGTGTAAAACAGAATATTTGTAAAATATTTTTTCCTAGAATTAAATAAGTTTTGTTCGCAAAGTAAACTCCCCTCCGTGACCAATTACAAATATAATGAGTAAATGAAAAAAAAAAATGATAATTGAGAAATGAAGAATTCAAAAGTGTTTACAGTGACGATGTTGTTTTGGTCAGTACACAACATCATGAAAGAAATGAAAACAATAAGTGTCAGAAAGATTTTCAGTTTCGCAATGTTCGTCGACACAAAAAAACTCCCCTCCGTGACCACTTTAAATTTAGTTTTTTGATAAATAAATAATAAATATTATTAATAATTTTTAGAATATTCTTTTAAATATCGCGAATACTATTATTACTTTTTTTTATAAAATTTATTATTTTTATATTAGAATCAATAAATTTTGGCTACGCCTAAAGGAAGAAAACTCCCCTCCGTGATCGCTAGTCACATCCATCGATTATAAAGCCTCATGCAAAAAAATGCACCTTTTTCGTACCTCGAATTTTGAAACTTTCTTTATGCCAAATGGTAACATATGATGACCCAATAATCCCTGCAAAATTTCAAGATGAGCATATGCCCCCTTTCGGAATTACAGGGGGTCAAAGGGAGCCATGTCAAAAAAAAAAGAACATGTAATATTATCGAATAATAATGTTAAAAAAATCAAACGAAATCGTTCCTTCAAGATTTTCGTCTGCTGATTACGAATTTGAAGTCCGTTTTCAAAAATTCAAAATGGCGGATCCAATATGGCGGACTACAATTTCAAAAATCAATCCAATTTACTTAAAAATGGTTACTCGGGTTACCTTCAGATTTGTGTTCACCGTCATTGAAAACCCCTAATTATCGATTTTGAAGCCAATTAAATAGATTTAAAAGATAATTGTCCGACATTTTGAATTTTTTAAAACTGATTCCAGATTCGTAATCAGCGACCCCAAGAACCCCCGAGTAACTTTTTTCAAGTAAATTTGATGGATGTTTAAAACTGTCGACCGCCATTTGAATTTTTAAAAACGGACCTTAAATTCGTAATCAGCGACCCCAAAAACCCCCGAATAACCATTTTCAAGTAAATTGGATTGATTTTTGAAATTGTCGTCTGCCATATTGGATCCGCCATTTTGAATTTTGAAAAACTAACACCGGATTCGTGTTTAGCGACCCCAAAAACCCTCGAGTAACAAGATTTAAACGGATTCGATCATTGTATCGGTGACAAAATATTAAACAATTATTTTTTAAACAATAATGTTCATAAAGATCGTAACAACGTATTTTAGAGACTTATTTAGGTCCTTCTCTTCCCATAGCAATAGTCATAACAGTGGTTTTGAACTTATTTTTTTTTTTTTTTCTTAATTCAGCATTTGTCCTTTTCGAGAGATTCACCCTTAAACGTTCAAAACTTTTGGCTCATTCTAATACGTGTATAAAAAAGTCTCAGTTTTCAAAACATTGGAAAACATACCAAAAGTAAAAAAAAATTTATTTGAATCAAATAATCGATTACTTGACAATGTATATTATCAAATAAATATTTATTTGAAATTTTGAATTAAATAAACTGTATTTGAACCAATAATTTCTGTATTTGAAACAAATACCATTTAATTGACTCAAATAATAATTATTTGATAAAAAAAAATATTTATTTGATAATATTCAAGTAACCGATTATTTGAATCAAATAAATTTTTTTTCTGTGTAGATTCATCTTGTTAAAAAATATCTAGTTATTTTAAAAAGAAAAAATAGTTAATAATTAATTTCATATAATTCTTCTATATGAATATTTTTTTTTATAAGAAAATTTTGTTTTTTACCATATTTTCTACGACTTGAAATTATATTTTTACAAAATTTGATATTTGTTAACTTTCCGTGTAGGCGCTTGGACTGTCTGTCACGAAGCTTAAGTACGCAACGATATACGATTTTTACAGAAATAATTTTTTAAAATGAAAAATTCTATAATTTTTTGCCTAAAATTTTTTTTTTTATAATTTGTTGATTAATTAAAAATACAAAAAATATTTTTTACGCAAAAAATTATAGAATTTTTCATTTTAAAAAATTATTTTTTTAAAAATCGTTTATCATAAACGTTGCGTACTTCAGCTTCGTCTGTCTGTCCCAACCGCAATATCTACTTCGAATTGAGCGTAGGAGACTAAATCTGACCAATATAAAGATATGTACAGATCTAGCCGACTTCCAGACAACTCAAAGTAGATATTGCCGTTGGGACAGACAGTCCGAGCGCCTAATACACTATAGCCATTAGCCACTCTCAGTTTTAAGATTTCAAAGACAAAATTACTTATAAATCATAATTGGGAACCGCAGAACTGCGATACGCCATCTGGTGTCGACCAACTTGTGGTAGCCATTTTTCGTTCCGTCTCTTTTTTAACATATGCTTAAGAGAGAGAGATGAAATTTCAAGATGGCTACCGCAAGTGGGTTATTTTTCCCATGATTCCCTATGATTTCTGATCCCAATATGGCCAATATGTGACGCTCCACGAGAAAAATAACCCAATTTTAGATTATGTTTGTGATTTTTTAATTCAAAATATACAAAAAGGATCAACTCTAAATATAAATCACTGATTCATAAGATTCATAATATTTTCAATATTTCAATCTCAATATAGTATTAGTAGTTTCTTTAATTTTGTGGTTTTGTATGGTCTAAAACAATCCTTATATTATGTGAGAAAAATTTCGGTGCGTAAAGTGAATCACTTTACACACCGTTTTAAAAAGAGCTTCTTTACACACACTTTTCGGTGTGTAAAATTTAACTTTAGAGGTTAGTGTTGCAAAAAATCAATTTTCTTATTCACTTTTTCTCTATCCATTTGTTTTCGTACATGTACGAGTTTTTCTTAACTTGACTATACTTAACTGTGATCATTTTGGTCAAAAAGAAATCATCTATTGTTGAATAAACTTTTATTATAAGAAATCTATAATTATATAACACTGTACTGGTCACTTTGCACAAAGTAATGAAACTGAAAAATTGTTCCACAGGGTTGTGATGATAAATTATAAAGTGAAACGTCCCAAATATAACATTTCACATACGTAACATTCGGGACGTTTCACTTTATAATTTAGCAACACAACCTTGTGTACAATTTCTTAGTTTCATCACTGTAAAAAGAAAGTACTAAAATAGTATCGATTTTAGGTATCAAAATAGAACCAAATAACAATTTAGTACCTAAAGTAGGTATTAAATTAATACCTTTCGTTTTACAGTGATTACCCTGTATACAAAAGAAAAATAAGATGAAGATACTAGAGTTACAGATTTATTTGAAAAACTAATTTTTGTTTATTCAACAATGATTTATTTTTGATCAAAATTATAAGTATAGCTGAATATGATAGGTAAGCATATCCTATACATATAATATAATAATAATTAATATTTATTAGTATCACGATTTTTATTTTATATTTTATTTCATTATGCATCATCTGTTACGTATGCATTAATTTAAATATATTTTTGATTATTAAATACTCACTTGCTTAATGTTTGGAATACTTCGAGTGTGAGTTTTACGCGACATATCATTGGCCAATCTAAATGATGACATGGTCTATCACAGGACAAGAAGGTCTGTTCTGAAAATAGAAATAAAAACAATTTTTTTTCAATAAAAGTGTTGTTAAAATATTCTTATAATAAAGATATAAAATGTTGTTTTTTTAAGCACTTGAGTAAAAACTCATACGGTTACTTTAAAATTGCAATGAAGATATTACAAAACAAATAAGACATTTTTTTAATAAACAAAAACAAGTAGGTAAATTCATTTTTCAAATCACAGTTTAATTCAATTTATTAATAATAAAACAATTTAAATGAATTTTCTTTTCTCACGTTGTACTCTCTAAATTTGAATTAGCGAAAATTTCACTGTTTGTATCAGCGAATAAAGTTTTCACTGCAAATCAGCGGTTACAGCTAATAAAATAGCGAATCACGAATCGGCGAACGTCAGTCATTTTCGTGGGAAGATAAATTTATTTTAAAATGGAGTATTCCGCTGATTGAAATAGTTGTTAGTCGCTGATTCGCAGCTGCATACTTATAGCTTTTTCAATCAGCGACTATTCGCTGCCAATCAGCGGATTTTAGCTGATTCAAATTTAGAGAGTATTTAGAAAGAATAATTTTTGTATTTATAAAAGACAACATTCAAAGCAAATATAATTTTTAAAAAATTTCATCCAGAGAAATCTTTTATTTTCGTTTATTTGAGACAAATAAAATTTATTTGAATCAAATAAAAATTTATTTGTCTCAGAGCACAATAACTTTTTATTTGATTTAAATAAACAAATTTTATGTAGCACAAATAAAATTTTTATTTAAACCAAATAAATATTTATTTGGCTCAGATATAAATATATAATTTTTCTGAGTAAGGAATTAAAAAAACTTTAATTTATAAAAAATTTAATTTATAAAAGATTATCAACAAAAAGAAATTCAATGATAAAAAAAATTTATTTGATTTGCAAATAATCGTTTATTTATCTTATACTATCAAATAAATGTTTATTTGTGTCAAATATTTATTATTTAAGTTAAATATTAATGTTTATTTTATACTATTTGTATTGAATAAATTTTTTTCTTGTACTACTTGAGGGTATGTGGGCAAAGGACAATTTTTTGTGGTTTGAAACTTTCTCTGAAATAAAAAATGATTTCGGGTTAAAATTTTGGAGAAATGATTTTGTTTGGTACAAGAAATCTCGCTGTTCTACTCATTTACCATAACTTAACGTAAAAATAATAAAAATAAAGAAATAAATAGTAAAATAATGTATTTTGTCATAGTTCATTCAGCGGCCACTCGCTCGAATTGGCGCTGTTTACTGGAGCACTGACCCACTCAAGGCCTGAGCAGAATAGAAACGTAACCGGAATCGTAATCGTAAACGCAACCGGAAGAATAAGTTATAGAGAAGGACAAACAATCTATCTATCTTTCTCTAACTCATTCTTCCGGTTGCGTTTGCGATTACGATTCCGGTTAAGTTTTTATTCTGCTCAGGCCTTAAAGCAACGTCTGTGTATACGCCGCCATGTTTCTTTTCATTTTCGTTTAAAAATGACACTTTTTAAAATTCATTTTTTAATAATTTAACACAAAATTATCTATTTTTCGGAGAACAGCGAGATTCCTTGTATCCAAATCTATATTCCCTCAAAATTTTAGACAAAAATCTTTTCTCGTTTTAGAGTAAGATGTATACTACCAAAACACATTTTCCCATACTAGGTCACGTGGGAGGTTCCCACATACCCTTAATTAAAATTATTTAAAAATTAAAATTATCAACGTTTCAAGAATTTTATTCTCATTCGCAGATATATATATATATATTGAAATAATTTAAAATATATATATTTATTTATAATAAAATTTTTTTTCAGATATAGGTAAATGCACTATTAATCGTCATCTTAAGCCGAATTGACAACTTTAATTGTGTATTAAACAATGTTAAACGGTATTTCTAAACTAATAATTAATATTTAAGAATAAATTAAAGTCTAAAGAAGCATAATTAACTCTTGTTTTTTAAAAATAGTATTATTGTTAATAATTATTTATAAATAAAGTTCGTAACATGCAAATGTGTTAGTTATCGGCGAAGATGAAAACTAATTGCCTTAGTGATCGTCAAGTAAAAGCATTAGTAATCGGCAGTAATATTAAAATATGAAAACAAACTTTTTAAATTGATTTTCTTATATATTATAGTATAATTATAGCAATTCACTGTTAGAAAAATCTGTATTAAATTTAATATATTGTATATGAAGCAAATATACAATACTAGAAATGAAATTTAATATACATTTACATTCAATTTAAGGTTATGTGACTGTTAGGTATGGAATGTTAATTTTCAGTAACTTTTCTCATAAAATAATGAATGAATTGAGTTGAAATTTTATGGAGAAGTTCCAAATATGATAAAAGGAATGGTTACCAAGTGCGAAAATGTTGATATATTGTTAAATAATTATTATAAAATACTTGAATAAAATAATTCTATATAATTAGAAAATGTAGGGTTAGGAGTGTCTGCGATTTTCTAACAATTTTTATGCCTTTTATTATATTTATTTAACAATATATCAATATTTTCGTACTTCACAACCATTCTGAATCATATTTTAAATTCCTCCACAAAATTTCATCTTAATCCATTCAGCATTTTACGAGATAAGTTACGGACAAATTGAAATTACAGACCTAACAGTCACATGACCTTAATATACTATACTTTTCTATAATAAATAAATAAATATAAAATTTAAAAAAAAATAAATAAAATAAATAATTTGAAAAAAAGAAAAAAATTATAAAAAATATGAAATTATAAACAAATTTTTAATATAATAAAACATATTTAACATTAACAAAAATATTTTTCTTAATTTACTTTTTAATTAAATTTAATAATACTTCTTTTTAAATTAATTAACTAAGAAATACTACACAAAAACTACATGTTTTAGTTTTCGACAGCCTCCTGCCTTAGTTATCGTCATAAAAGAAAATATAAAATAACTTTCATTTCATCCAATTTTCAGTTGACGATAACTAAAATCTATTAATATTATAATATACAAAATTTATTTTTACATTGAAAACAAAGTTTTTTAACATCACTCAATAAAAAAGTCAGTTGTTTATGTACTTAAAAATTTTTTAGTTATCGTCATCTCTGACGATTACTGACACACGATGAATTTAGAGTTTTAGTTATCGTTTTCCTTAATAATAAAATAAAAATTTAAATATTAATTTATTTTTTTCAATCCATCAATAGTAGTTTCATTACTTTATGATAAAAACATAAGCTTAACTTTCAATTCACTTTACACTACTAATCACAAGTTATTTTTTATATGTCATTCGCCTAAGCAGAACTTTAAGAAATGCCGAAGATCTAGTCAGTACGTGGTCTTGTCAAGAAAAAATAAACTTTTTTAATTAAAAATTTACTATTAACACGACGAATTTGTATCCTTTCGATGCCGAAAGGTTTTATTTTATCAAAACACACAATTAATAACACAAGAAAGTTACACTGATCTTATTTTTTACAATATAATGTACTAGCTGCCGATAACTAATGCACTGACGATTACTGGTGCATTTACCTTAGTTCAAAAATATAAAAAGCGAAAATTGCACAACACAAATATAAAAAATTACATGAAGAAAAACTTGCTAAGGTAATGGCTACTATAAAATTAGTAAAGGAAATGTAGTGGACAGTTCTAGAAATGGCAACACAACTTAGAATAGCAATAAATAAAAGTAGAAAAAAATTATCTCATTTACAATTAATCTGATAAGATAAATTGAATGAATAAGAGGATACATTTCTTTGACAGTACACTCAGAGCAAAGTTTTTTTTTTTTGTAACCTAAAATACCATTTTTTTGCATTAACACAATTTTTTGGTTCTTTCAATCAAAATTTGTTTGATTTAAATAAATATTTATTTGATCTAAATAAAAGTGGTTTATTTTAATAAATTCTTCGAACGAAGAAAGAATATTTGATTGAAGCAAATAAACTTTTAGTTTATTAAACCAAAATTTTTATTATAATTATAAAGCAATATATTTATTTGGTTATTTCAAACAAAATTTGGTTGTTTGAAATAAATTTGTTTCTATATATATGGAGCAAGTGATAAATTGATTTTTGAAATATTTTTATAAAATAATTTTATTTTTATTTTCTAAATAAGCAAAGACACAATTTAGTTGAAAAATGAAACTTTGGTTTTATAACTTACTGGGTCTATAGTGACTGAAGTGCAAGATGATTGCAGTGGCTAGTATCATACTTATAACAATGGCACATCTTACGAATTTTGATGCCGGCGAAACTAGACGTTGTACGTCTTTTGATTCGTACATCGTCCACCTTAATTCTTTATTTGCATTTAACATAAAGAGGTGACGACATTCCTCAGAAATTATTTTCTCTAAATGAATCTCCGATGAAGTTCTAAACAATAATTTTTTTTTCAAAGAATAAAAAAGAAAAGTATTTTCCAAAATTTTTTATTAATCTTTTAAAATTTTTAAAAAATTTTCAAAAGAAATAAAAGAATCAGAAGAAAATACCTATCAGAACTGCTATCATTATTTGTGTGCATATTTTAAAAATTAATTATATAATTTTTATTGCACAAAGTGTATAAATATATATATTATTTTTTTATTGAAAATTATGGTAATTAATTATAATTCGCGGTTTTTCGATTTCTCTTCTTCATTAGTTTCACTAGCCGCAAAGGTTATAAAGATCACAATACACGATTATTTTTTTAAAAGAAATCATAATGTTTTCTTTTTTTCTAATATAAAATAATAGAAAAATTTATTAATTAAAATTTTTTTATTTCTTTTTCACAATTTATTCATTTTTATCGTTCTTAGTATTTTTTTTTTTATAATATATATAAATAATATTCTCACCGGTGGACTAAAAAATTTCTACGGTATTAAATATTTTTTTTTTATAGTTTCTATTTTCTATTTACTTATGATTTCAAGTGCGTACATATTCAAATGACCAATACATATAAAGAGACTTTCGTCATATGCATCATATTTCAAAGATTTGTCTGTCATGCACTTTCACGTTAATTTTTTTTTTTTTTTTTTAGACTGAAAAATAGTTTCAAGCCATTGTATATAATGAAACTAATATCTTTTGTATTCAAGTTTCATTTAAATTAAAATTTATTGATGTTGAAATTTTCAATAAAGAAAGCTACAATTTAATTTTGAAATCAAAAATTTTAAATAAGAATAAAATTAAATGAATAAAAATTTTGAAACAATTTTGGAAAAAAAAATTAAAATAAAATTATAAATTCAAAAAAAAACTTTTTATTTAACTGAAAACTCGACAATATAAGATTTTATAAAATGAGACTAAAATCAAAATAAATAAAAATTTTTGAAACTTTTTTTTTAAAAAGAAAATAAAAACAAAATTATAAATTTAAATTCTTTTTTTTTAACTCAAAACTCGATATATTAACTCGTAATTTATTCTTTTTTTGTCTCTAATTACTGAAAAAAAAAACTCACAGGAAATTATGAGGTATTCCAATAAGATGCAATACTCTTATTTGAATCCAATTTAACATTAAAATAATAGCGTTGCATCTTATTTTAATACCCTAACAATTTTCCATGGTTGGAAGTGACAAATTAGGAAAAAATTCCCATACATGAGAAAATAATGAGTTGAAATCGTAATTTCATTGAAGGAAACTGGTCATTAATGTATAAATCAATCATAAATGAGCAATTTCTATCACCACGTATTTTCAATGGTATAAATAGTCAGTAGTTTTCACTTTCTAGAATATAATAAAAAAATATAAATTTTATTAACAATCGTAAATTTGTAGTTTAATCGATAGTTGACATTTTCAGATAACATTATTGATCTTGTGTTATAAAAATTTAATAACCGGTCTCTCTTCACGACGAGAAAAATAAATTTCCTTTTTTTTTTTGAAAAAAAAAAACAAATTTGCATTAATTACTGAATTTTGCAATATTAAGCTCTAGAGCTTATAATATTTTTAAAATAAAATCCCATTTATTTTATCAGTGAGATGTAAATTTTAATAATTTATCAGTATAGATCAGATTAAATAAATTTAAAATCCAAAGAAGAAATTGATATATGAACTTGTTTATTTTGAATAAAAAAAAAAAAAATTTTTTTTAATGAAAGTAATTTTCATATTTACATATATATCATCATGCAGGCTCAAAGATATTAATTTTAATTTATAGTTAATTAAATTATCATTAAATTAGCAATTTTTTTAATAATGTTTTACTCCACTCACAACAAATTTTAATTCAACTTTTTATGAATTTTTCACATTTATTTATATTTATAGAGAAATAAAATCCAAAAATTTTTTTTAATACAAAAAAAAATTGTTTTTTAAAATTTGTTATTATTTAGATTCAATTATTTAAATAATTTTTTTAATAATATTTTTATACACAAACTTTTATTAAAAATTAATTAACTGGTGATGTCAGTTGTAAATATCCACACTTTAATCCCGGAACTGGAAAGTTTTTGCGCAATTGCAAATCACTTCAAATTTTTATGATGCAATAAATATTTAAATTAAGTTTGCCGAAATTAAAACCTTTGAGCCTTTTTCACATTTCAACTTTCGATTTTGTAGACAAATATATTTTGAATTGAATTTATTTCTGTTCCACTTTTGATTTTACTTTTTATAACTTTATTCCTAACATCAATGAAAATGTCAAAAATTCATAAAAAAAAAAAAAAAAATTTTGTAATCAACATGGAGAAAAATATTTTGTTTTAAGAGCAAAAAGTTTCGTTGATTTTTCGTGCTGTAAAACATTTTTTTACAATCTCAATCGCAAGAATTTTATTTGATTTTAGCCGAAAAATTCAATTGTTGTGGTTAAAAAAAAATTTTAATAAAAACTTTCAATTTTTAATTCAAAAATTTCAAATTTATGTTTCAGAAAATTTTTAAGTTGAAAATTTTATTTAAAAACTTCAAATTTGAAATATTACGTGTATAGAAAATTTGTTTTACATTTCAAAAAAATAAAAAAATAAAAAAAAATTTTCTCCAGTGAAGCAACAATAAAAGTTGGGAGAAATAAAATCAATTTTTCCCTTCATCAAATTTTTCTATTCATCAAAAATCACAAATCTTGATTGAATACAAGAAAATTCACTTTTCGAACAAAAAATTTTTTTTTTTCAAATTGTAATTATTTATGGATATTAAATTTAAATTAATTAAAGAATGCCAAATATTTTTTTTTCCTTACACTGAAAAAAATTTATTTGATTCAAATAATCAAGTTTTATTAAATAAACTGTATTTGAACCAGTAATTTCTGTATTTTGAAACAAATATCATTTAATTGCATCAAATAATAATTATAAATGTTATTTGACAATAGTAAAGTAACCGATTATTTGAATGAAATAAATTTTTTTTCCATTGCATCAAAAATTGACTATTTTTTTTCAAAAACTCAAGAAAATAATTTTCGTTTATTAAATAAAAATTTAATTATTTTCCAAAAATATTATCAATAGAGTTTAAAAAAAGTATAAGTTTTTAATGAATAAAATTGCGAAAAAGTGTAATGTAAATTTAATGACACAAAATTATGAAATGATAAGACCCGGCTTTTATATGTAACATTATTCGCACATGGCACCTACGTAAAAATTGAAGGCGCTTCGTTTAAAGCAACGCGCCGTCGCGCTCTCGCTATCGAGGGACCACTGGCAAATTTTCCGAATCAAGTCTGGGTCTGAGTTGTGGCTGAGTTGAGCGAGTCGATTAGGGATATCAAGGTGGTACTACAAAGTTGGGGCCCAAGACCCCCTTCCCTCTCTCTCTCTGTTTCTACTCAGAGCAGCATCCTCATAGTTCACGTATCTCCGCCGTCTTGTCTCTCTTTCTTTCTTTCTACCACTCTCAGAATTTTTCTCCCTCTTTCTATATCTCTATCTCTATATTTCTAAATAGTTCTAAAAGATAATACTAGGGGGGAATTATAGGAGTGCATATATATATTCAATACACATGTCAGACTTTGAAGTAGTGAAAGTTTTCTGCAAAATGCCTCTCTGTCCCACACACCATCAATATATGTATGTATATAGACTGTACAAATACTTTCATTCTCTCGACCTTTCTCTTTTTTATCTTCTTGATGTGTGTGATGGTATTGGTGCTGGACCAGTGGTTTCGCTTTCGCTTGAACCCCGAAGCACGATGATGCTAGGATATAAGGTGCCATTGTCTATATAGAAGTGATGTTTTTTTTTATATAAGGTAGGGTATCGTAGGATTTCACAAAAGTTGAACTTTCAAGAGGCTCAAAAAAAATGTAAATGAATGGATTTCGTGATGTTATTTTTGTTCTGAGTAAACTAGATTGAGATTATGTATTTATACTTTGAAAAAAAAATTAACTAATTACACTGAGATTGATACTGCTGCTGTTCGATTTTAATACTGTGTTTTCACAAAATGGAAATAGAAATTCACTTCCTCAAAAAGTTCAGATGCTGAGCAAAATTTCTCTCAGTGTATCAAGGGTCTTTTCGAGAGTTGCTGTGAGTATACTGTCAGTATGTTGTGATTGGCTGCTCCATCAGCATGTTTATTCTGATTGGGTAATTTTTTACTGTCAATATACTGTCAGCAATTCCCGAAAACATCCTAACTATTCTTTAGACTGAGACGCTTGCTTTTCACCGAACGGTCAATACGTCGAACAGGCAAAATATCGAAAAGCCAATACGTCGAACAGGCAAAATGTCAAAAAGCCAATACATCGAGCAGACAAAATGTCGAAATGCCATAACCTCGAAAAGCCAATACGTCGAACGGTCAAAATGTCGAAAAGCCAATACATCGAACGGACAAAATATCGATAAGCCAAAATATCGAAAAGACAAAACATCGAACAGCCAATACGGCGAACGGACATAATGTCGAAAAATTTTATTGACTTAACTATAATTATACTTGACTCAATAAAATTTTACGACATTTTGTCCGTTCGACGTATTGGCTTTTCGATATTTCGTTGGTTGGATGCAGAAACGTGCCACTTCAGAGCAGTCTTGAAAAACGAGTCATTTCATAAAACATTTGAGAAACCTGCCATTCCAGCTGAGATTTGGAAAACATGCCAATTCAGAATTGATGTTCGTTTTTTTTTCTTTAGGTTGACACTACTGAAAGGTTATAAAGGTGCTTATATACCTCAAATTTCGATCAGATGAACATTATTTCTGGACCGTGAAAATGCGTGAAAAGTCATTTTCACGGCGGGTATTTTTGAATTGTTTTAAACAAAAAATGTTTTTTTTAAGAAATATAATATTAAATAATTGTTTTAATATGTAAGAACACTTTAAAATAGTGATAAAAAGATGATTTGATTGAAAAATTTAGCAAATTTTGCTTTAAAACGTTTCTGCTACAAGAAAGTGTAAAATGTCGATGTTTGTGAAATGGTTTGTACAGTGTACATGTTTCTTTCAGTTATTCGAAACAATTAGTTGAATTTAAATTTATTTGATAAACATTTCAACTTACCGATTTATTTTCAGCACTCATTATTTATTACAAGTTAAAAAGAACCGACATAACATAAACAAAACTCTGAGAGACACTAACAAGGAAGAAGCACTGTACAAACCATTTCACAAACATCGTCATTTTACACTTTCATGTAGCAGAAAACGTTTTAAAGCAAAATTTGCTAAATTTTTTAATCAAATCATCTCTCTATCATTATTTTAAAGTGTTCTTACATACTAAAACAATTATTTAATATTATATTTCTTAAAAAAACATTTTTTGTATAAAACAATTCAAAAATACCCGCCGTGAAAATGACTTTTCACGCATTTTCACGGTCCAGAAATAATGTTCATCTGATCGAAATTTGAGGTATATAAGCACCTTAAACTTGTACGAAAATGACTTTTCATGTTGTATTTTACATGTTTGTTATTATTGTTTGAAAAAAGAGTATTTTAATGAATTTATTAAATAAATTTGTTAATTATTCATTATTTGATTAACAATTTCTAAAATCACAAAAATATACAAAGAAATTATTATATATTATATTTTCAAAAAACAAATAATAACTAATAAAATTAATAAAGAATAATTATATAATAGAAAAAAGTTAATTAATTATAATACAATTAAAATAAATAAAACAAAGAAATAAATAAAATAATTATTAAAAATAGTAATGAAAAAATTTATAACCATTCAATACTGCCAACCTAAAGAAAAAAAAATGAACGTCAATTCTGAATTGGCATGTTTTCCAAATCTCAGCTGGAATGGCAGGTTTCTCAAATGTTTTTTGAAATGTCTCGTTTTTCAAGACTACTCTGAAGTGGCACGTTTCTGCATCTAACCGACGATTTTGGTTTATCCAAATTTTGGCATATCGATATTTTGTCCGTTCGATGTATTGTCTGTTCAACGTCTTGACTTTTCGACATTTTGATCGTTCGACGTCTTGGCTTTTCGAGGTTATGGCTTTTCGACATTTTGTCTGTTCGATGTATTGGCTTTTTGACATTTTGTCAGTTCGACGTATTGGCTTTTCGACATTTTGTCCATTCGGCAACTTGCCATTCGACATTTTGTCTGTTCTACGTATTGACCGTTCGGTGAAAAGCAAGCGTCTCCTTTAGACTCCTTCCACAATAGCAAACTCGAATCGTCTTGAAGATTTTTAGCCTAAGACGATGCGCGCGCATTCATTGCCAACTGTTGATAAAAAAAATTCTTTGAGGCTCCTTCCACAATAGACCTTTTTATCATCTCGAATAGAAAGAGCTTGCTCAGTCGCCATGACAGTCGGTCATATTCGAAAATTCACCAAGTTATTAACATATGGTTGGTTCATATTTTCTCCACTCGCCATTTGTCATAATTCTCGTCAACTACCGCACCTTGCTCTAGTGAAAATTTAGTAACTTTATAGTAACTTTTAATTTTAACATAAAGTCACCAAATTTTCACTAGAGCAAGGTGCGGTAGTTGACGAGAATTATGATAAATGGCGAGTGGGGACAATGGAAACTAACCATATGTAAGTAAAAATATGACCGACCGGAAGTTCAAATTATTTCGAGACAAAATTATTAGTGGTAAACATATTGAAAGCTGTCTGCAGCTTATAACGTTTTCATAAAAGTTTTTCTTTAACATTTCCGAAAAGGGTAAGTAATGGTAATTTTTTTTTAAGAAAAAAAGATGCACAATTAAATTCTCTATAAGAGTATAAACAAACTATATTTAAATTCGAAAGTCGAATTTCAAGTGCCCGGGGGACTGCTCTTTCGGTCGAAATAAATTTACTTGCCCTTCTATATATATATACGATCCAACGGCTCAATTTTTTATGATTTTTTTTTATGGTGCTGAATTGATTTTTAGTCAAACAAAATATTAATTTTTTTTTGTAATTTTGATATCAATAGAAAAAGTGAATTGCAGTCAAACAAAACGTTTTGAATTCTTATAACTTTAAACTTAGTAGTAAAAGACAATTTTAGACAGACAAAACATAGTTCTATTTTCATGATTTGGTTTTCAGTAAAGAAAAAGTGAAAAGTCAGTCAATGATTTAAATTCGTGCAATTTTAGTAAAACCAATAATAAAAATATATCTGTTTCAATCATATTTCCAAATTCGCTTGACATTTTTCGTATCACTAAAATGAAATAAATTTATATCAACCTAATTTTAAAAAATTTACCCTCAAATTCAAATTTATGCATAAAATATAAAGATTAAAAAGAATATGAAACTCATGAAATAAATATAATTTATAAGATTTTTTCTGTTTCAAATACGTTTCTCTTCAACTTGAAAAATTCCATAAAAGAAAATTTTGCTGTTGTAAATTTATTAAATTTCAAAATACTTTAGTAATTTTATATAATTATTCTTTTTCACTGATATACCTATATTATTTATTACACTGAAAATTTAATGATTTTGAAATTATATAAAATTGATGTGTTCTCTGAACGAGCATTAACAAAAGGTGATATATAATCATTCTTTCATTTTCAGTTTTATATGTATATTGTGTAAAGTCTTAAGATAGAATATTATCAACAAGAAAACATAGCCGACAATATAATAATTGTAAAGGAACTAAAGAAAATTATGAGACTTTACTATAGTCATAAAAATATCTATTTCAAAAACTAAAATTAAAATTGTCAATAAATAAAAACTGTCGATTGTTAACACATAATTATAATTCAGCACTTCTTTAATAATCGGATGCAAAGATTTTTTTTTATCTTTAATACGCAGGCGTCAAAAAAGTGAAAATATAGTTGACTATTTTTACACATTTCTAAATCATAAAAAAACATTAAACCAATTGACACGTATTTATAATATATATAAACAGAGAAAAGAAATCTGTGACCATATAACTTTTTCTAAAATCATTGCAAAATATTCTTTTATTTAATTTAGGTTTATTTTGCAAATTTCCATGAAAATTTCACTGCACAAAATATACAAAAATCTTATAGATATACTTTCTTTTATTACGAAGCTGAAGTACGCACCGTTTACGATAAACGATTTTTAAAGTGTAATAATTTTTTAAAATGAAAAATTCTATAATTTTTTTATAATTTGTTGATTAATGAAAAATACAAAAAATGTTTATTACGCAAAAAATTATAGAATTTTTCATTT